AATTGAAAATTTGTGAATGTCCCCTTTATCCTGTAATAATGTTCAGTAGACTACATTCATAGTTCGTTGTCAATGAACTAAGCATATTCTGCTTTATATAAGAAAGACAAGCGTGCAAAGTTTATATAATTAGCTCATATATCACCGGTAGTTGTTTATATTTTCATCACCGCTGTTAATGAAATATGCTTACCGTTCAGAAGTCTTTTCAGTCGCAGCGCCTTGAACAAATTTAAACACAAAAATTGAGAAAACATGTATGAATTAATGTCTGTACATTTAGATTTAATTTATAAACAAATAAAGAAGGAACTTCAGCTTGTATATATATATAGTGAGTCGTAAGTTGTCTGTATAAAACATAAGAAATAAATTGCAAAATTTTTTAAAAAAATATTTACTCAGTATACGCACCTACACCTCCGTAGCATTCCAGCGACTTCACCAGCAGATACACCTCCTCACCATCTTCGTCCAGGTCCCTTATTGGCACCTGCATCACCGGCAGGTAGCGCTTATCATCAAGATATCCCTCGTCCACTACCCATGAAGAGGTAGTCATGTAGCTGTTACAGTTCCCCCTATAAGAAAAGATAAAGATAACAACTCGAATTTTTCCGTTTTTTTAAAGATTAATTAAAATCATGCTTATTATGAACTCCGGTCAATTTCCCGGACGCCCTTGTTTATGTAGCAGTTGTGTTGCGACTAGCACAAAAATTATTTGAACACTCGAGTAGTACTCATTTCCAAAGGTACATGTAGGTCCCCTCTACCAAAATGCCATTTTGATTTTAAAATGATCTTGGAATATTTTAATATTAATAATAATTAATTAATAATAATTTAAAAAGAGTAGGGGCCTAAGTAGAAAAAAATCTCCCACTGTGGCAAATAATAGATAGTAAAAGAGCAATAAAAGTACGAGTTGTTTGACTGTGATGCAGATTCAAAACAAACTTATTCGGGCGTAGATCAGCATAGGCCTACATACAGTATACCAGGATACAGTGTACATCTCCAAAAATGTACAGAAATTGTCATATTTGTTTCATATTTGATATCGCGAATTATACAACAATACAAAATCCCACGTGCACATGCCATATTTATGTACACATAAACTTGTCAATCAAGGTAATGTAATACAATTAACATTTTATTTTCTCGGAAACAAATTAAATATGTTAAGTCTCACCATTGATAGTCACAGCTGTTCTGCATCGCGCATGCGCATTTAGAGCTATTGGTCGGGGCACCTCCCCAGTTGGTCATGCCCCATCCTTGGCGGGAAACCCACCAAGGACTGCTGTGAAAATTGAATGCGAGGTGAGACTGGAATCGAACAAACTGGCGACATTTGCCTGATATACGGGTTAGACTTTCAAGTTGCTCTTCCGTTAGTCTGTACTTAAATGACGCGTATCGTGTATAATTTCCTGGACCTTTGTAATGCTGTTGGTTTGTACCATCTTCGGGTGGTAGTAAAGTGACGCCACGGCCAGGTAAGTCATCTCTAGTTGTACAGATGACCTGGAAGGAGTCCACTCCCCCTGGACCGTCAGGGTCTATGGTATATACACCTTCCCTGAATACGGTCCCGGCATAATGGCTTAAAACATCCTCGCAGGATCTGGGCACTATAAAGAATAATGCAATACACTGTACCAGAAAACAGAAGTGAATGGAAATAAAAATGCCAGTTTTTGGCGGCGTGCTAAAAAAATAATTAACAATTATTAGATGAAAACATTCATTGCTCGATTCTATTTTTTTTTTCTTTGTATAGCATGAATTTTGTAAAAATTGAAATCTTTCTAATTACCTCCTTTACAGCCCACATCTTGAATTGAGAGAAGACAGAAAATCGCAAATGCAATCTGCAAGCAAGTCATATCGCGATCTCCTCTCTTTATCGCTTGGCTATTAGGAATCAAGTGCGCTATTTGTGAACTAGTCTTAAAATACAGGTGCAATTCATACGCCTACGCACTAAAAAGGACACGCGCGTCTTATGACCTGTTTGCTGGGGTTATCGGGCGGGGGGGGGTGTAGGAAACTAGACGTAATAAATAAATAAATAACCCATTCAATTATAATGATACTGTTATTCATTGAAACAAATATCCATTTACCAATTTATGTAGTATATTTAATAAACTTACTTATCAGCTTAGTCATTGATTTTAAAAGGTAGGGTCTTAGTGAAATAAAAAAAAAATTCATATTTGTCTGTTATTGGATTCCAAAAAAGTGCAGCTTTTCATAATGAAAAATACAGAATTGACAGATGTCCATTTTGCTTTGGAATCTACATATAGAAGAAAGCGACACGGCCAGATAATGTGGTCGACTCTACTGGCGCCATCAAATGCTGGTACTGTGACCGTAAGACTAGAAGACTGCGTACAAGATCTTAATTTGTAGAATTGGCTTCCTAATGCATTGCAGATGATGATATAAAACATGGATAAAAGTGTATAAATTGATTGACTACAAAGTGCGAACAGCGCCACGTGTTTTCTGACCTCGTGACCTTGCTATGGAGGTGAGGCGATCACGAACTTAGAATATCACCAAAGGATTTCAGCACACTATAAAATAGGAATGCTATCACGAATATGCCTGCTTAGTCGAATTCCCTCGAAAATAAGCATTTAATTTTTAATCACAGATCATTACTCAAGACCCCGGAACTTAGACTCGATATTTTACACCTTTTTTGATGGAATAATTTTGTGCTGAATGATTGGTCAGTCATTGTGTTGTCTTTTTGTACAATTCCTGTGCAGTTAAGAAGAAAATATCAACATTAGAATTTTTGTTTGAGGGTTCTTACTCTTTAAAAAAATCTAAATTGGAACAGATGAGTAGCCTACCGGCGGCACTGCAGGATGAGTAAACATAGAAAATACGATTATTGAAAAAACACAAGTCAGCGTCTTTGATAAATAACACAAATAGCGCTATAAATTTTGCAAGAACTTTACTTTTACAACTGTGAAAATTACAGTAATTTCACAAATGCCTTAAACAAAATGAATTTATTTCCCGTTTTCTCAACCGAAGATGGCGCTGATGTCCATGTTGGGGCTACATTTCTCATTGAACACGTTGTACGCCTGGTTGGTGAAAGGCAAGGTGAATACATTGCAACAAATGGTCGGATTATCTGAGAAGACATGCGTTGAACTGCCAGACGAACCACAGGCAGGCGCAGTCTTGTAGAAGGCCACAATACGACTTCCAGGGGGAGGAATGGTCACCCCGACATTCTCACACATGACTTGACCCAAGGGTTTTTGGACGCCGCCATTGGTTATGTTGGTGGTCAGGCGCATGGTCGCAAGTGTCAACTTGGCCAGTCGTTCACAGTCCACTGGACATCTCTGTAACACGTTGGTGCACTCCGGTGAGGTGACAGGGCTCACAGTGATGGAAGGCAATATTTGGCGGCGTATCTTGGTATAAAAGAACTGTGGATACACATCGGTGACCTTCCTTTTCTGGTTGCCGTCATCTATCCATACGTCGTAGTAGCCTTGTCCGTAGATGAGATCTGGGAGTTGAAAAAGCAACGGCCCCGCTTTGGTAGAGCCTTTCGCTTCGGCGTGAAGACTGCAGAGGCATCTTAAAAGAAATGACAAAAATCGCAATGTTAATTTACCCTTACCTTTATCTCAGTAGGACTTGTTCAGCTTCAAAATTCGGAAGTGACAACAAAATTTGATAGAACTGTACTCCACAATTTCATAAATCTATTGCAGTTATAATCCTTGTTTCTGGTCTCCAATCCTAAAATACATGACCATAAGCAGAATCTTTATCCCCATCCTCAAAAAAAAAAAAAAAAAAAAAAACCTACCATGCCTGGCTGTGTTTCAAACACTCCTCAGTGTTTACAGTACGCACTGGCATATATTTAAATCAAGATTATAGATAGTAAATTGTTTCTAAATTTGAAAATCTCTGTAGTAGCGGAAAATGTGATTGGCTTTTTTCAGCGAAACTGTAAGTAACGTCTGTGAGTAGGCAGTCACGGGACAAAAGATAGAGAACGAAACTAACTGAAGATCATAAATGAATGTTTGTAAAAATTATAGCTAATTGTCCCGTGTTCTTGTTTGATATTTGAACCTATCAGAAATCGCCCGAACATCCCTTTTTGCAAATCATTTAATAAAACAAATAGATGTTAATTGTACCTGTACTTACTTTTCAGTAGGCGAACCGCTTGCCAAAGCTTAAATGAATGAAAATAATGAACCAATCAATCAATCAATCCATGAACTAATTAAAATTAAAAGAACAAAGAAACAAAAAAATGATAATTTTTTTCCAAAATATAGGCTACTCATCAGAAAATACTGTTACAAACGAATGAAAAAATGATAAATAAAATTTAAAAAAAATGGAGAAAAATTACTGAATTTTTTTTTTCAAATAAATATTCAGCAGGACACTAAAAATATTTTCTACTTCGGTGGTACAAACATTTGATTCAAGAAATTTAAGTCAAGTGGGCAATTTCAATCTTGCTGTACAACAGGCAGGGGAATTAAAGATTGTGGTATTTACTGTTTTAACAATGAAAGAACTGGGTGTTTTTTCTTAGTATACACACATGACACTATAAAAAATGAATGAAACGAGTAAAAAGAGTCTACATAACGTCAAGGAATTCAAAACAGAGCATTGGAAATATTGAAATCGCAAGAATAAAGTACATGTGTCCTTTTTTCGAGTGTTGCTAATCAAAAAGTGTTTAACCCAGGTTCGCGTATGCACATATATGATTTACTTTGTCATACCTCCGTAACATTCCATCGGCTTCACCATTAAATAAACCTCTTCATTGCTATCATCTAGATCACGAATATGCACCTTTTTCACCGGCAGATAGCGCTTATCGTCAAGATGCCCTTCGTCATTTCGCCACACTAAGTCATTGATTTGGCAATTACACTTTCTGCATATAGAATAAACAAAATATCAAATCGTTTTACCTGAAAGTTATAAGTTGTGCTCTCATATTTACTGATGACATGCTTTCTTAATAGAATCACAGTATGAAATTACCTTACTGCCGTGATTTACAAGAACAAATCCCTGTGAATACTTCATTTAAGCACCAGTTATGTACAAAGTGATGATTTCCAAAACTGGTCATAACCCAAGACTTGATGTACAAAGTTACTAAATTATCAAAATTGTAATAACATTTCTCATATATCTCAAAATATGACTTTGTCACTTACCGGTATGAACGGTCACAGTTATTTTTCATCGCACATGCACACTTAGAGCTATTTGTCGGGGCACCTCCCCAGTTGGTCATGTTCCACCCTTGTCGGGAAACCCACCAAGGTGTCAAGACGAAATTACTTGCTTCAAAACATGAAAACCGAACAAACTGTCGACATTTGCCTGATATACGGGTTAGACTTTCAAGTTGCTCTTCCGTTAGTCTGTAATCAAATGCAGCGCTTCGTGAAATAGCACCTGGACCTTTAAAATACTGCGAATGTGGTACAATACCACCTTGGTGAGGCACTAAGGTGACACCGTGGCCAGGTAAGTCATCTCTGGTTGTACAGGTAACTTGAAACGCGCCCACTCCCCCTGCCCCATCGGGGTCTATGGTGTATACACCTTCCTTAAAAAAGGTACCAGAATAATGGCTCAAAACATCCTCACAGGATCTGGGAACTACAAAAAATTAGTAAGAGTTACTGTAGGGATTGCAGGTTATTCAAGATAGTATTACATGTAAGTAATGTGTATATTGTTCTTTCTCATCGAAAGTTTTTCAACCTTTTGTGGTCCCACTCAATTGATAATTATTAAGTGGTCGTTTACATTGTTTGTACCAAATGCCCGCAGGCGTCTCAGTACTCACCTCCGTTACCTGCCGCGCAGCGCGCAGGAATAAGAAAGAAAATCGCGAGCAATATGTTCAAACTAGCCATTAAATCCAATGAGTAGCTAACTGGCGTTAGCTATGCAATGGAAATTAACTCCGGTTGATTTCTGCTGCCCTTGATAAAGGGGTGCATATATTTGCTTACGACTGACAACGATACCATGTGTTTTTTTCACATCAGGTGGGCTGTCTTATCCAAAAAGGAAACTGTGAGGACTGGCTTAGAAAACAGCAAAACGGCTTTGCAAACCAAGACCATTTCCACCAATAAAATAGAAGCACAACCACCTTTTGAAGCAACCTTTAATTATTAATTATGATATTTCGAAAAGAACTTATTTAAGCTCTTAAAAGAAAAAAAAGTTTATAAAACCGTTATTTATTTTCTTTTACAAAAGGTAGGTGAAAGCATAACACAGTCAGGCAGCTTGACTGAAAACCACGTAGAAATTGAAATCGATCGCTTATTTTGCAGTTGTCTCCCATTTTATGAACTTCATCATCTCGGATTGTTTTTTAAAAATTTAATTAATGAAATCTTTATGCGCACATAAAACTGTCTATATTACCCCAATTCAAAATTTAAACCTGTATATTTGACATCATAATTCAAGCATGCAGGCTCAGACGATGATATCTACATTGATTAAAGTGTAAAACCGAGGTAGTCAAGAGTGCGAAAAGCGCCATGTGTTTTCTGACCCAGTAAACTTGCAATATTGATACCGAGGAGAGGCGATCACGTTATTGAAATATGACCAACGACCTGAAAAAGATTTCCGTGCGCTATAAAGCAAACACTTAGAAGTTTTCTATCAGCTGTTTCCCAGCCAAATCGAATTGCCTTCCAACAAACGCGATTTTCTTTTCTACTCGAAACAATAATCCACGAGGCCCTGCACTTAGATTCGATGTTTATTCCATATCTGATCGAATAACTTAGTTCTTAATGACTGGTCAGTCACATAAACCGTGATGTCTTCCTGTGAGTTAAGAAGGAAATATTAACATCAGGTACCTTTTTGAGGGTTCTTACTGTTTTTGAAGCCTGGAATGTAACATAAGTACCGGTAACATTGCAGGATTGTGAGACAGTTTTTTGTTGGACATTCAAACGCGTACAGTGTACCTTTGGATAATCATGGTGAATTTTCGTGTAAAAGTCACCTTAATTAATAAGTCATGCAAATAAATAAGGGTTATAAATTGAGTTGTTGAGCATGTACACGGAGCGTAATATTAAAACGCTTTCAGGTTCTGAAGAAAAATTAATTTACACATCAATCAGTGTGAGATGTTACTCTTTTTTTTGTCCAGTCAGTCAGTTTGTCAGTTAAGTGCACCTTAGTCGTACATGTGCGATCATTCATAAAATGCAAGAAAACTTTGGTACGAGAAAGTAACACAAACACCAATATACATGTATAATTTAAGAGCAATTTCATATTACAACTGTAAACATTGCAGTCACACGTATTTCCAAAAAGCATAGTCAAAAGTATTCGTTTCCAGTTTTTCTCAACCAAAGATGGTGCTGATGTCCACATTGGGGCTACATTTTTCATTGAACACGTTGAACGGCTGTCTGCTGAAAGGCAAGATGAACTCTTTGCAGCAAATGCTCGTATCATCTGGGTGGAAATACGTGGAACTGCCAGAGGAATCACAGCCAGGCGCAGTCTTGTAGAAGGCCACAATCCGGCTTCCAGGGGGAGGAATGGTCACCCCGGCGTTCTCACACATCACTTGACCCAAGGCCTTTTGGACGCCAGCATTCGTTATATTTGTGGACAAGGACATGGAGGCAAATTTCAATTTGGCTAGCCGTTCACAGTCCACTGGACAGTTTTGTAACACGCGGACACAGTCCGGTGATTTGTTGTGAGCCAAACTGGAAAGCAATATTTGGCGGCGTATCCTGGTGTTAAAGAACTGTGGATACACGTCGGTGACCTTCCTTTTCTGGTTGCCGTCATCTATCCATACGTCGTTGTAGCCTTGTCCATAGATGAGATCTGGGAGTTGAAAGAGTAATGGACCCGCTTTGGTAAAGCCTTTCACTTCGGCGTTTAGACTGCAGAAGCACCTTAAAGAAAATAGGAAATCGCCATATTTATTACTATATCAATTTTTAGCCCCCCATCAAAGGGGTTGTCTCACTGTACATGTACACTGTGTGTAATTAACGCCAATGAGAAAGCTGCGAAGCCAGCATATGCCGCAAGGTAGATTATGATGAAAAAATGACGAATTTAAAAGTTTTGTTTATGATGGATGGGACTGTCGATGTCTTTCCCTCTGTACATCTTTGAAATTTATAATTGTACGAGAAAATAAAAACAAACGATTTCATTAATTTGTAGTATTTTTCTTGAAATTGATGCTCTGATTTGAAATGTATAACCATATGAACAATATTTAGAGCGCTGATCAAGGAGGATATTAAAATAAATAAAATTACTAATTTCTTAGTGTTTTGTATTAAATTGAGAAAGTGATTGAGGGTTTTGCCGTAGTTTAGTGTATGTAATCAGACTTGAAGCGTTTAATAAAAACACGTAGGCTGCAAATAGTTCCATTGTATCAAATGGTTCTCAATCGCTAACTATCCAATGCAGGAGCGATAAATACTGCTACATTCTGCGTAAAAAAGTAAATGCAATTTATGTAAGTTAAACGTTCTTACTTTTCGGTAGGCTGTCCGCTCGTCACAACTAAAAATAAATGAATGACTTTATTAAAAAATGAAAATAAAAGGGAGAGCAATGATACGAAAAACAACTCTTTACAAATACCTTCGTCAGTACCTTCAAAATGGCTAATTATCAAATTTAAAGAACATATCCTATTTTAAAGTGTAGCTGACATGTTTAACCAACGATAGCGCACGGAATTTTGTACTTTGCGATACCTCCGTAACATTCCATCGGCTTCACCGTTAAGTATACTTCTTCATGACTGTTATCTACATCACGAATCGGTACCTGCTTCACCGGTAGATAGCGCTTATCGTCAAGATATCCCGCGTCCACTCTCCACATTCCATCATCTCGGTGGCAGTTACACTGGTCACTGAAAGAAAGAAAACAATTCAGCTCGCCACACCGCGTCATTGATTTTGCAGTCACGTGTACTGAATGTTGAACAAACACTATTAAATATATATACAACTGACTTTGGCTGAACCCGCGCATTCTACGTGCAGTGCAAGGCTGAAAATAGTTCAAACGGTATTCTCAGTAGACCGACTGAAGCCTCCGAGCGGTCAACTGGATCTTAGAAAAAAAAATTATATTATTCGTCTATAACCAGAAGAATCTTAAATACGGTACTAGATTGTAAAAAAAATACACTAATGTGAAACGCTTCTTAATGACTAACATACATGTACAAAGTATTATTGTTCCTTAGCACTGTAATCATTTCACATTTTTGGTTAAAACCCTAGATATCTTGTACATCAGGCATAATGAGAAAAAACAAATGAGAAAAAACAAATGAAAAAATATTTGAGATGGTGGACTACTACAAGTTTAGTTTTGTAGAAAACAGGACGAGGCCGTCAGTTTCGAAAATGCCAAATTCACCGCTTCTTTTGACAATTGACATTAATTTCAAACAAATAAATGGTCTGTGAAACAAGTCAAACTTGTCCCTCATTCATGCTTTGTTTCACAATTGTCTTATCAATTGTCTTATCATCATAAATAACCAATGTGTGCGTCATATTTATTAACAAATCAATGTGTCACTTTACGAGCATCTTACTTTGACATGTCACAGCGATTCTGTATTGCACACCCGCATTTAGAGCTGTTAGTCGGGGCACCTCCCCAGTTGGTCATGTCCCATCCTTGTCGGGAAACCCACCAAGGGTTCGTGTGGAAATTCCAAGCATCATGACATGATAGTTGAACGAATTGGCGACATTTACCAGATATACGAGTTAGACTGTCAAGCTGATCTTTTGTGAGTCCGTAATCAAATGAAGCGTATTGTTGGAAAAGTCCTGGACCTTGGTAACGCTTCGGCTGTGACACGATACCACCTGCGTGAGGCACTAAAGTGACGCCGTGGCCAGGTAAGTCGTCTCTAGTTGCACAGGTGACCTGAAAGGCGTCCACTCCCCCTGCACCGTCAGGGTCGATGGTGTGCACTCCTTCCTTAAATACGGTACCCCTGTACTGACGCACAACATCCTCGCAGGATCTGGGAACTTGAAGAAATTAATCGACATAAAATCACCGGTGATCTCTGTGACATAATTCAAACTTAGAATCACAAATTGTTTGTATTTGTAGATATTGTGAAAAAGTTGAAAGCGATACATATATTTCTTTCCAGATGCAATCATTTTGTGTTGCGAGAATTTTATGCTAAAAAAGAAAGGCCTACATACCTCCCGTACCCACTACTTCGTGAACTGAAAGAACACAGAAAAACACGACCGAAATCTTCAAGCAAGCCATATTGACAGCGCTGGACGCTGGCTTAATCGTTACGGTAACGAGGGTTATAAAATGCGCTATTTATGAACTAGTATTCAAATAAAGGTGCAATGCGTACACCCACAAATTGAGAACGACACATGCGTTTTATGACCCGAATGTGCGAAGTTATCAGCAGGAAAAAAAGCACCTGTAGGAACCAGACGCATAAAATAAAAAAAAAATCATTTAATCATTATGAAACAGTTTTTCATTGAAATGTTATTTCAATGATCAGTCTTTGCAACATATCTTATTAAGCTATTAATCAACTTAATCAGTATACTTATAAAAAGAATTCCAAATCCCAAAGAGGTACCGTTTTTATCAAATGTAATGGTGCATGTTACCGTAATAGAGTTGCAAAAACTAGCTAGCATTTCTTGATAGACAAAAGGTTCATGAACATGTACCTTTTGTAACTTTAGAGTCTTCTTATAGAAGAAGGCGACAGGGCTAGAAAGATGCGCCCAACTTTTATCGTGGCGACCAAAAGTGCCACCCAAAAACATTTTAATCTTTTCCCACGTTTTATATTGTCATATGGTATAGTTCAGAAAAAAAGGCCATCGTTTCATATTTCCAGAAAAATTATTTTTGATGGGATATTTTTCACTTTCTTTCCCGGCTATAAATATCCCTCGGCAGGCTCATTTGGAAAAGTAAGCAATTGTGCGTGCAGCTATACATCTGTACATGGGAATGGCATTGATGCTTAAGCAATGCGTGCGCATTACTGCTTCATTTATGGAAGTGGAGGGACGGATAAATAGGATAAATAGATCAATTTTAGACCAAAAGTTTGAAGAATCTGGTTTATGAATTGGTATGTTGACTTTATTTTAAGAAACTAATGGTAGTGGTTGGTATTCGTAAATGTGAATCCACGCTTCCTTTATTTGTCAAGTGGACAATTAATTAAATCAATGGAACGGTAAATCGAATGAAAGGAACATTTTATTCAATCGTAAAAAATATTTATTAAATCAAGGGTACGATTTATAAATATAAATATAAACGGATTAAAATATTTTTATAGATGGACATTTTGGGCCACCATATTATCAAGTGCTGCTTGCTGTTAAAGGATTTTGCAATCCATGTTTTGAACCTGCATATTCGATTGCCACAAAACAAATGTGTAGGCAAAGTCAGGAAATAAAATTCAAGCCGAAAAAAACATATATATAGTGGTACGTGTGCGTAAAATTCATGATGAACTACAAAGTGAGAAAAGCACCTCGTGTTTTTTGACCTCGTAACCTAGCTATCGAGGTGAGACGATCACGCGTGATTCAGGGGCTTGGGTGTCATGAACGGTTTGAAAAAGACGTGCACTTAAAGAAACACACTTGAATAAATTTCTTTTACGTTAAAAACCATAAATTCAAGTCATAAATAACTGATATTAGTATCCTATGTACGTTACAGGTAATGGTATTTTTGTCAACACTGGAGAATGATACGTTGTTTTTTCATTCTCTGAAGATACATTTTATTGGCAGAATAATGCGTGCAGGACTAAATTTTCCCCCGTTGTTTAGTAGATTGTGCGATTTTTGCAAAAAGATACAGGTCAGCGCTTTAAAAAGTAACACAAACACGGATATAAATTTTGCAAGAACTTTACTATTACAACTGTGAACATTACAGTGATTTCACAAATATACAAGGCATTTATTTCCATTTATCCTGAACCGAAGATCGTACCGAGGTCAACATTGTGGACACATTTCTCACTGAAATAGTTGTACACCTGGTTGGTGAAAGGCAAGGTGAACACGTTGCAGCAAATCGTCGTATTACCTGCGAGATGCGTGGAACTGCCAGAGAAACCACAGGCAGGTGCAGTCTTGTAGAAGGCCACAATCCGGCTTCCAGGGGGAGGAATGGTCACCCCGGCCTTCTCACACATCATTTGACCTAAGGGTTTTTGGATGCCGCCATTCGTTATCTTGGTGGTCAGGGGCTTGGTCGCAAGTGTCAACTTGGCTAGGCGTTCACAGTCCACTGGACAGCTCTGTAGCGCGTTAAAGCCCTCTGGTGAGATGCCAGAGGCCACACTGATGGAAGGCAATAGCTGGCGGCGCTTCCTGGTATTAAAGAAGTGTGGATATACGTCGGTGACCTTCTTTTTCTGGTTGCCGTCATCTATCCAGACATCGTTATGGCCTTGTCCATAGATGAGATCTGGGAGTTCATAGAGTAATGGACCTGCTTTGGTAGTGCCTTTCACCTCGGCGTGGAGACTGCAGAGGCATCTTAAAAGAGATAAAATGCAATGTAATTCACTCCATTTTTACCTCCACCTTCAATGAAAATGAATCATTTAATATTTTTACGGCAGATGGAACAACTGATTTCCTCCCCAGAGTGCAAAAATTTAGAAGTGTACAACAGAATAAAACAACTTTCAGCACGCAGTCACTTAAAAAAGTGAAACCATGGCGACAGAGCGTTCAGGTTATTTTGTTTGGGGACATGTTTCCATACCAAACTTATGTGATAAATTTCATATCGTACGGAACCTTTTAAGAACAGATAAAGCAAATGCAGTAGAAACATGTATATATGTGTGTGTTATACGCAACACGCAGTCAGGTTTGTATCTTTGAAATTCATATACATGTACTAGTGCACATGTAAGTAAAATGCACTTACTTTTCAGTAGGTGGTCCACTCACCATATCTACACAGACACATAGAAAAAATACACAATGAATGAAGTAAAGAATAAAAAATTATTTGAAAAAGAGCGGCATGGAACTTGTGGAAAAATTCATCAAAACCTTTAAACTACATCATACTATGGTACATGTAATATGGTAAATATATGTAGAACCGATTTCTAACACGATATAACATTTACTACATTGTGGTTCCAACTTTTAGTTCAAGTCGAAAACCTAGAAAAGATTGCTCGAAGGTAAGAAGTCTAAAAGACCATCATTGAGGTCTTTCAATACAATAAAAATATCTGCCTCTCAACTTGAAAGACAAAACTACCCTGAGAACAGCTAAATTCGCAGCGCAAAGAAATGATGAATTCTCAGATATAACGTATTACAGATCGTTGCCAAAAAGTTTAACCTAGTTTGTGTGTACATTGTATCTTTTGTGATACCTCCGTAGCATTCCAACGGCTTCACCATTAAAAATGCCTCTTCACCATCATCATCAAGATCACCAATCGGTACTTGCTTCACCGGTAGATAGCGCTTATCGTCAAGATATCCTTCGTCATTTCGCAGTAGGTAGTCGTTCAATTTGGAATTACAGTCCCTGTATATAGAACAAACAAAATAATTAACCACTATTAACATGTTTATCATATGACATATATTGACGAAACGTTTAGATATTTGTCAACTATTTATTATTATTTTTAACTAGACACCAAAGATAGGAAGTTAACAGCAAGTTAACAGCAAAAAAGTTGCGACAGTTTCAATAACAAAGAGTAAAAAATGTCAATAACTTTTTTTAATTTATGAAAATTAATCCTATCAAGCTGGTTTCCTAAAGAAACCTACAAAGTCACTCAATAAATTCGAAGTGTAGCATTTGAGCGAGCGTCGTCAAAATACATTATGAAAAGAATAAGAAAAAAGATAAGATAATCAATAATCAATAACGTTCATAAAAATAATTCGATCATGCTTACTTTCGAAATAAAGTGGTATTATGGACATACAAAGCCAGTCGGCAAATTTGAAGTAAAACAGAAATACGGTTTGGCACCTATTGGGCTAACATCGCCAAAATACATGAAAAAAAAATCCCGTAAAAATCAACAAAGTTTAAAAAATACACTGTTACAACAGCAACGGTCGATCTTGGGAAGCACAGAAAATTCACGCGCCCTAGCTAAGAAGATAATCCGCCTTCTCTACACCTCTACACCCAAAAAGAACATAACAATAAAACAGCAAATAAAACAGTAAAACATAAAGCAAAACCAAACTATTTTCCTTGCTATTCCCTATACGTTATGATTAAAAAAATGTCCATAGAACTAATCTTGGATACGTCAGTGCACAGCACTGTATATATACAAAAAATGTGTGAAACTTGCCAACATTATGCCCAACTAAAAGTTATTAGAACATCAAGAACTGTTAAATAAATGCACTTTTCAGATACATCAACAAATCGGCAAGCCACATGGGTCTGAGCGTTATCTTACATGTTCTCTCCATCACATCGATCCAAGCACATTTAGAGCTGTTTGTAGGGGCACCTCCCCAATTGGTCATGTTCCATCCTTGGCGGGACACCCACCAAGGACTTTTTAAAAAATTTTCTGAATGAATAGTTGAAAGTCGAACATATTGGCGGCATTTGCCAGAAATACGGGTTAGGCTGTCAAGCTGCTCTTCGGTGGGTTTGTAGTCAAATGAAGCGTATCGTGAACGTTCACCTGGACCTTGATAATGCTGTGGCAGTGGCTCAACACCAAATTGGTGAGGCACTAAGGTGACACCGTGTCCAAGTATATCATCTCTGGTTGTACAGGTGACCTGGAAGGGGTCCACTCCTCCTGCGCCGTCAGGGTCAATGGTATATACACCTTCTTTGAACACGGTGCCGGCATAATGGCCCAAAACATCCTCACAGGACCTGGGAACTAAGAGTTTAGACATATTTTAGCAGTAACCAGACAGCATTAAGAAAATTCTTTCCCGCTTTAGCAAATTATGTAGCATTTTTGAATCACAAATTAGACAGCTATTGTACATATTTACATTGGTAACATGTACTGATGAAATTGACAAACTGATTCATTGTGAAAATAAAATTATATATTATTATATTTTGAAATATTTTAAAAATGCGGATTCGCTACTCAGTTTTAAAACTTTAAAGTTGCATTGCACAAGTTTTTACTGAAAGCTTGTACACCTACGTACCTTCATTAGCCGCCACGTATTGCACTGAAACAAGAAAGAAAACCCCGTGCAAAATGTTCAGATTTGCCATTAGTTCGACGCTGTCTGAATGGCGGCGGCTATGCAACGGAAATGAACCGAGCTGGTTCTTTGCTGCCCTTCATGTGGTGCTGCATATGCCCACAAACTGAGAACGAAACCATGTGTTTTATCAACTTGGTGCCCTGTGTTATCGAAAGAGGAAACAATCTGCACGGAACAACTACGCAACGCAAGGGCACACCAGTGACATAGAGTTACAACCAACTTGAAGGAAACGATCTTTTTTAAATTGTCGATATACCCCAATAAATGTATCGAAAAAAATCGACCTGTGTTGTAATAAAACAACGCAAGGCAGATATAAACACACTGCTTTTTATTAATAGATTAGTTAATTGTCCCACGGTTCTGGTGTGCTTAGTCATTTCTGTCCAAGGTCAAACAGGGCGGCACCAACTAGTGTCAAGTACTCTTATACTTTAATTACTATTTGACATCCAAAGGCTCATAGAAATGTTCCGCTTAGGTAATAATTCGAAAACAGTATATTTTAGGCTCTTGAAAGAAAAACGGTCATTTTATTTCTTATTTATTTTCTTTTTCGAAAGGAGGTAAAATATTAACAGATAAAGGCATATGCAGCTTCTTTGAAAATCGCATAGAAATTTAAAACGGTTGCTTGGCAGTGGTGTGCACTTCATTGCCTCAGATATGTGCTTTTCAATAATTTAATTAATGAAATCGGTCTTCATAAGGTGTACATATCCTGCGAAGCATGCCATCCCTCCCAATTCACACCTTAAAAAACGTCAAACCCCTCCAATAAAAATAGGACCTACCTGATGTTGATATTTCCTTTCTGAAATGTACAGGAAGACATGATGGCGAAATTATCGGATCCAAGCGCAGGAAACGATTTTTTATAGCTTCACCCATGATATGGGTGAAATATGAAGTTACAAATAAACAGCAAGATGTGTGCTCACAGAACATGGCTTCGATTTATATTTAATGCGATCTACACATCACGTTATAAATTGGCATTAATGGTATGGATCACCAAACATCAGCATATGCTGCGGTAATGCCTCGCATACTTTTAAGGTCCAAGAAACAGCTCGCTAATACCTAACCTGCTATTGCAATGATCATTGTAGATCGCCACTTGCTGATCGTAGACAAACGAATATGTGGTGCAACATAGCGTTACGTTACTAACATAAACATGAGTAAAGTCCAAGCCAAAATTGCAGGCCGATGCCATGTTGGCAAAGGCCAGTATGCGACGTCCTGGGGAAGGGAACGTTCCTCTTGCGTTCTCACACATGACTTGACCAAGGGGTTTCAGAACTCCCCCAATGGGTATTTTGGTGAACAAGGGCGTGGATGCCAGTTTTAATCTTGCCAAGCGTCCACAGTCTGACTTGCACCTCTGTGACATAGTGACGCAATCGGGGTGCCAATTGGGGTTGGTATTGGTAGGTGGTACGGTCCTCTCAGTAATGAAAAACTGTGGATACAAGTCGGTCACCCTCTGGGTCTGGTTTCCTTCTTCCAGCCATACCTCGTTGTGCCCCTGTCCGTAGATGAGATCTGGGAGATGAAGTAGTAATGGTCCGGGTCTGGCTGGGGTCTTATCTTCAGCATGCAGTCTGCATTGGCACCTGCCAATAAAAAGAAGATGTGGAAAAGAAATAATTTATGTATTTTTACGTCTATAAAGAATAAAACGTAAGGTCTCCGTCTCTCTCTCTCTTGCATACACACACAAGTGCGCGCGTGCACACATATACATGTAAACGTGCGCGCACACACATGCACGGACATTATTTATGACACACACACGAGTATATATAATGTCATCGTAATCCATGTATAACAAGATCATTGGATCTCAACAAAGTGCATTAGAGGTTCACAAAATTACTTTATTCCAAGGAATTCCCTGGTTTATCTAACAACCACATCGGTTTACCAAAACACACTTACCGACCTGTATTCTTTACCTTCACATCCCCTAAAACACAAGAAACATTTTAATATTGAAATCATTGAAAACTTGAATACAATTCCTGGAAATTCATTATACCCGAAGAAAACGGCATTCCAGGAGTTGTTTTTATATTACGGGTCGTAGGGATTTAACTTCAAAGTGTGGATGGCAACTTGTTGTCAATGACGTCATGTCAACACTATTTTCTGAGAAGTTTGTCTCTATTTTCCCCTGATAAAAGCATCAAACTACTATTTGCAGGTTCTTATCAAAAGGCTGAGAGTTACACAGTATAAATATACATGTTTAGAAACCAACCCAAATGTTGGCCAAAATATAATTTGTCAATATGTCGACATCCCCCCCCCATCTCTCTCTCTCTCTCTCTGCTAGTCAGTTTACTTCATGGGGTATTTCATTTGCTTCTTGACCGTTGAAGATACCCAAAATTTTCTTATCACCGTAACATTCCATCGCCTTGACTGTCAACGACACAGCTGCGCCTGTTTGATCTACACTCTGGACATGTACCAGTTTTACGGGCAGGTAGCGTTTGTCGTCCAAATAGCCCTGGTCGTTATGCCAGTTGTCATCATTTATTCCGCCACAGTTGCAGTTGTAACTAAAACAAGTATTGGCACGTGCTTAATTTTAATAATGGCCATCTTGACTGTGCTGATATATAATATTTTTCTATATTGATTTATATTTTGGTAAGACACTGATTGCCGATTTCAGACGGCCTATTTTGAAGGATGAGAATTTAAACCAGTTTAGTCTGTGTTACGCCCCAGAATGAAAGTGGAAAATTAAATCTTTTGGTGCAATCACAAAGAAGGCTGTTGAAAGACTTTAAGACTTTAAAGACTGGAAGACTTTAAAGATTAGTTAAGCAAAAACTTCGACTTGTAACTTTGATGGGAAACAAACAGATAAAACTTCACATAAATATCGGTCAACCATGTGAAAATGCATGTTGTTTTTTAATATAAGAGCTAGAGGAGACCGGGGCTAGTTGGTCCCCGGGGTAAGTTGACCCCCATCCATTTATGACAAAGTAACTATGGGGTAAAAGAATTGATCACATCATTTTGTAAAGTGACCGTATCCAATAGTGCTAAGAAAGCGTCTGCGGTGAGTCCAAATGAAATCATTTAGCATCTTAAAGTAACTTTATTAAAAAGACTTGATGGGGGGGCAACTTACCCCGGGGTCCAACTAGCCCCGGTCTCCCCTACAATTACACTGCGGTGGTTTCACATACCTTGAGTTGTCACACCGGCCTTGAAGCGAGCAAGCACACTGTGAACTGTCGGTAGGAGCTCCTCCCCAATTCCTCATGGCCCATCCTTGACGTGAAACCCACCATGACTTATTTTCAAAATTCTTCGCCTTTACACATTGAAGTTGAACAAATTGACGACAATTGTCAGATACTTTGATGAGGCTTTCAATTTGTTCTGGCGTTGGACTATAGTCAAATGCAGCAAGGCGGGTTCGTGCGCCAGGGCCTTGGAAACGCTGTGGTTGCGGGGTTGGCCCGCCTTGATGAGTTACTAACGTGACAACGTGGCCAGGTAAATCACTTCTCTGCGCACAGGTGACTTTGAACGGATTCACCCCACCTGGACCGTCGGGATCGATCGTGTGTTCACCTGTGAGAGATGTGGTTGAATTTCCAGTTGATGTCAGATCTAACACGTCTTCACATGTTCTGGGGACTGCAATCAATACGTCAATCAATCAGTCAATGATCATTTTTAAAGGTACGAGGAACTTTGGACCCTTATGTAACGTGGCTGCGATAGCCTGTGTAATTTATATTTATAGACGACCAGCGATTACGTAAGAGACCGGTCAGTTATTACAAATGAGATGATGATTCGAAACGGATATACGTACTGCTGTTTGCGGCTAAATCCAGCGATACATACACGAGTATAAGCAGAGAGATGATTGCTCCTGCGGAGACAGTCCTGGTCATTGTGAGATGCCAACTGTTCCTGTCCGCAGTGGTAACTGTCCACAGCTTAAACTGACTGAGTGGCTCGTGCGAAAATCCCCACGTGCTGTCATGATTTCAGGAGGTAGCCATTGGTCTTAGGTAATCATGATAAGGAGCTTGGACCCTACTAGTGACTGTCGCATTTCATTATGCACGATATCAGCTTGCGCGTCATGTGGTATATATATATTTTAATTTGTAAGGCCCATTGAGGTTTTAATGAATTTTATTATTATTATTATTATTATTATTATTATTATTATTATTATTATTATTATTATTATAAAGTAAACCAAAATGATGGTTAAATATTTTTACGCTTAAGAAGTCCCATTGTTACCCGTTTACCAAGTTGACATAATGTATACCCAGTACTTTTTTAGAAGAGTATTTTATAATTGAAAAGTACAGGAGCTCAAGAAGGTTTTTAACTCAATACACATCGATTTGGAAATAATGGAGAACGCATGTTATTTTGCTAATTTTATTTCCTTTAGTCGGTTGGATTCACACCTAAATAGGAGCCTTAAAAAATAAAGACATCCTTTCAAAATTAAACGATAAAAAAGTTACGTATATCGAGCAAATTTAATTCATAATTAAAAATAGTTCTCTTATCATGTGAAAAATGAACGAAAAGCATCGATACACATTAGAAGCATGCATACACAGATACGTAAAGAATGTACTTAGATAGTGTCACTTGTTACACTAAAACATCCATACTGTACATAATAGACGGCAACGGTAAAACTACTGCGCAAGAAGTAAAATGTCTTTGTAACTTCCCATTAAGCCTTCACCTTTATTAATTACACAACGTTACTGTAATTGTTAAATGCAATATCTACGCTATTTATTGCACATATGTCGGTCTTAGACGATAAAATGATATATGCATGTTTTAGTATCATTTAATATCTGTAAGAGCATAATAAACATGCGCTGTATATGTTACATTTGTATTTGTCATATCTATGCAAAGAAGAAATTGTATTAAAAGGTAAATATGCGCACTAAAAACGTCGAACCAAACTTACTAAAAAACAATATATACATAGTTGGACGGACCAATCATTCATACCTTTCACTCACGTTGGCACAAGTTTCAACTTTCAGTGATAATCTTTGTTTAAATCAAGGCTTTAAAACGGAATAAAAATATTTCACAATCATATGCACAGAAACAGTCACCGTCTTGGGTAAAGTCACTACTTAGAGACAATAGGTCTAGTATTGAACAAGTTTTATCCAAACTACGCATCGCTTTTGATATATGAACAAAGGGATACATTTTTACACACCTGAAAATTAAGAATTCATAGCTGTGTTGCTCTAAGTACTTTCGTGGTCAACTGCGCTTTTTTGTATGATCATGTATTCTTCAATTTATTTTCAAGACAATATATTTCCACAACTGAGTTCTCTTCATAAAACACATAGCACATAACGTCTTCAGCACCGCGTTTCTCTTACTTACAGTTCTACAATATAATTTTTTTTCTTTTCTTTTTTTTTTTTTTTTGGATTGTATCATCACTGTCGATCACCACAGCTCTACCGGTATTTCTGATTACATTTCTGCATTAACGGGGCGTTGTGTCGGGGGCGCGTATTGACAGATGGGCCTAGGACCGCCCATAGGTGACATACCCTTCTGTGACGCGCCAAGATTGGTGCCCATCTGGAGATGAGTAATGCCTTGGCTCGCACGTGCCGGCTGGGAGGGACTTTGGACACCTCCTGGTTGGACATCACCGATTCTCCTCACTGCACCGAACGGTGACATCCCTGACTGCGAAGCCAGCTTGTTGGTGCCCATCTGTCCACCGATGACTGGAGCGGTGGCACCTTGTGGCTGTGTTGGCATGATGCCCCTTGTGGCGCCGAATGGAGATAACCCGTGCTGAGAAGCTAGCTTGTTCGTGCCCATTTGTCCTCCGATGGTGGACAACCCCTGCGATGTTGGGCCTGCAGCTCCGGTGTTGTCTGCCACGCGGCGTACTCCACCAAAAGGCGACATGCCAGCCTGTGATGCCAATTTGTTTGTCCCCATCTGTCCGCTGATCACTCCCTGTGAGGTGCGGTTCATGCTGTCGGTGCCTGTTTGGTCGGCGACGCGGCGCACGGCGCCAAACGGGGTCATGCCTGACTGTGAGGCGTGCTTGTTTGAGCCTGCTTGCAGTCCAATGATACCCTGGGTCTGACGACTCTCCTCCATGTCGCCTGATGACATGACACTTCTTGGAGCACCAAATGCCGTCATGCCTTTCTGTGATGCTGTCTTGTTGGTGCCGTACTGCAGCCCAATCACGCCCTGGCTTTCTCTGGTTTGCTCAGAGCTACCCAAATCGGAGACATGTCGCACGGCGCCGAAGGGAGTCATCCCTTTCTGTGACATGTTCTTATTTGAGCCCATCTGAAGCCCGATGACGTCTTTCCCTTGGTAGTCGGCAGCACCGACATCGGACACGTGTCGGGCGGCACCGAATGCGGACATGCCCTTTTGGGAAGCCAGTTTATTTGTACCGTATTGAAGTCCTATGACATCTTTGCCTTCATACTCTGAGACACCAAGATCGGTACCGTGTCGAGTAGCACCAAACGCCGTCATGCCTTTCTGGGATTCCAGCTTGTTTGTCCCCATCTGTCCGGAAATGACGTCCTTCCCTTGGAATTCAGAGACCCCAAGGTCCGTTCCATGGCGCGAGGCACCGAATGACGTCATGCCATGCTGAGAGGCGAGCTTATTGGTTCCCATCTGACCGGATATGACGTCCTTGCCCTCAAACTCGGAGACACCTAAATCTGTGCCATGGCGGGAGGCGCCAAATGACGTCATGCCCTGTTGTGAGGCCCCTGCGTTGCTTCCGTACTGGCCTGAAATGACACCGGCGCTGGCTTGATCGTACTCATTAGCCCCCACGTCGGCTGCACGGCGCACGGCTCCCATGGGAGTCATGCCTTTCTGTGAGGCCAGGTCAGCGCCATGGACAATGCTGTTTTCTGCCATAGACATTTTGATGAGTTGGTGTGTATGGTTCTGATATAGGTGTTCTGAAAATAGAGTGTATAGATATATAAATAGTGCTGTTAATGCTAAATACTACGGGCAAGCGAGTCATGCAGATATATTTAAATGGCCAGCAACAAGATTCGTTCAAGTGAACGGTTGTAAAAATGTTAAATACAGGTCAATATACATAGAAACATCGACAAATATACAGCGCATGTGAGCGGACAATGGTTTGCATGGGAACTGTTTTATTAAACGTTTTTTGAAAAATAAATATCATATTAATTATGCATTCAATTTGTGTACATTTTATTCATGGATTTAGGGAGTTGATGATCCGTAGATGTGATGAAAACAATAGCATGTCGTGAATCACACCGGTTAATATATAGATAATTCACCAGTTCACTTTAATTCCTCCGATCGAGACGGAAATTCGAATGAAATACATCAGATCGGTGTGTTTTTATTAAACAGACTCGAGTAGTATAGTCGAGAAAATCAACAAGAGCAATATGAAATTTGCTACATCAAAGGTCGAATTCCAAGGAAACATTTCTAACAGATCGCGATTTTACAAACTGAGGGCATAAGACTCCGTGATATGATAAAAACATCATTTCAGTTGATATTGGTCTTCAGGCGAAAACAACTGATGTTCATAAACAACTGTAGAATTTTATTTCCAGGGGATTAGCCTATACATGTACACCCATGAATCAGGTGAACTTGCACGTTTCATATCGCGCTGACGGATCGTTTCTATTTATATAATAGTCTATTTGATATCTTTATAAGAATCAGTACCTGTATGAGTTCATATGTTTATCATGACTATCACAATATTACTATATCCCCACTCCCGTTGCTCTGACGGGATTCATAACGACGAAAGAATTTAACGGCAACAAAATGAAGTACCAAGAGACATTCCAGTCCGGAAGAAACCCGCCGCTGTCTACAGGTACTCACACAGCACTGTCGGGTTGTGGTTCATATGTTAGCATGCTAGCACCGTTCTCGGGAATGGGAAGGGTTAAAAGAACAGCAAAACATCTGTCTTGTAACATGAAACGCCGGCCAGCTTACCTGAAGTAGGTAAACACCCAGGGCTCGAACTGGGGAGTCGTCTGTTTCGACCGTTTGATTTTGATAGAAATTTATTACTGCGATTTATTACGATTTACTGCGAACCACGTGGTTCCTTCAGTTAATTCACCAGGCTCTAATAACCACCCATTAAATTCGATAATGTAATAAATTAATAAGGACGGTAAAAACACATTTTAAGTGTACTGGGTATCGCGCCCTTTCCCAAGATTCCTCTACCGGTGATGTAGGCGTATGAGAAATTAACGTCGTCGGTTTTTGGCTAGTCTTACCATTACATCTTTTAACTGCGTTGGATAAATTTGAGATTTGAAGTTTAGTACCAAATCCTTACACCTCTAAGCCAGTTTGATGAAAGCGATTTCAAAGACATGGCAAGGATTCTGATGATTTATAATAAGAAATTATATCAACCATCTCGTTAAACCAGGGACACAGACCAGTTTCTGATAAAAAGGCCTACAACACGCATTTCATACCGGTGACTTGTTTTACCCCTAAGTAAAAGCTCTGAATTTACCTTACATGAGGTTCTACCCAGTTTTTCTTAATTTCCTTTATTTTCTTTAATTTCTTTCGCAATAATCATTATCATCAAAATAATACGTCTCTTAGTAGTTACTTTCTAACTTAAAGAATCCCCTTATCCCATATCAAGAACGTAGAATGACTTGGCTCGAGATCCCCTATAGCACAGCGATACACTTACCTGTGAATTTCTCCGCCACAGATCACGCAATTGGATTTGCTGATTTCTTAGAAAGTTTTATACTACGACCCGACCCATTCACCAAAACCATTCGTATGACACATATTTGTTTCTAGAATGTGAGTCATTATTTAACTCCGATCAGAAAACGCTTACCTGAATTTTATCTTGCTCTCGTTCAGGCAGACGATTCCGGCAGAGGCGCTCTCGTCTGCTGCTATGCGTATGTATCAATCAATGGGGCTCCACAGGGGGGGGAAATAACGCGCCTAAAATGTAAGATCAATATAGTTAATCCGGACCGGTGGGGCTTTTAAAGTTTGAGCCGGCACAGCAGCCGTCTGAAATGAACATCTGTGCTCTGTCTTTAGTTGTTTTCCTGAATATTGTTTCATATGCAAGCGTTTTCACACATGAGAGTATTTAGAAAACAACGTCATATGGAATGCGTTACACTTAACTCCAGCTAACAAACTGTTGTGAACACTTACATGCTGATAAGGCATTTTTCTTGTACTATTGCTCGATTTTTCTTCAGTTTATTACCGGCTTGTAAATTTTATCTATTTCCGCCAGTAGTTTTTGTAATCCCCAAATCAAATGAACATCCCCACAAATAATACTATAATAATTCGAAAGTGATCAGTGAAGAACACATTTACTGTGTTTCACATTCACCCGTGAATGATAAATAATCGCCTGCCGTTCTTTTTAGATCTGTGTAAAACAGGAGGCGCATTAGACAGGTGCGCTCAACAAGAGGATGACCTAACTTCTGCTCAGTTGTTTAACTTCAGCTACCGGATAAATTTAGCAGAATTCTACTTAGCTTGTTTATCTCCTTAATATATCACAGCTCACATGTCGACAGACTAAATTCAGTTATGTAATTTAAATTTACAAATACAATCCACCTACAGTAGCCGTCAAAAAAGAAAACAGGATAAGATATAAAGCAGTTATTTTTCTTCACTCAACGGCTAGTATTGAAGTTGTTGTTTACCTCCAATATTTTGATGTCTGTCTGAGGCATATGTGAGACATGTATCTGTATTAGGGAAATATTTTTTTGGTAAGATTAGAGATGTTTTGCAGGACCTGTACTCTATAATGAAATAACGTGGATATACAAGATACATCATAGAGTTTTAAGCGGTGAGATTGTGTAGCAAAATGGAATCTGTTACAATTAGCCCACTGGCAGTAATAAAATGCTATTGGATGATTAAACACTGGAGAATGGCACGTAGGCTGAAAGTGTTAGAGAACCACCGCAGAGAAAGCCTAAACCCCTTTCAGCTAAAACGAGAGAAAACAAGGAAAAAAAGCATAGCATTGAAGCTAAACTTGGTTCTCAGAACCCGTCCTGCACAGCATGCCTATCCCCACAGTACTCCCCCACTATTCTAACCCATTCAATATGCTACACATGTATGCACCGATGTGATACATCTGCGCAAATGTGAACATCAGCCGACGAACAGGGGTGGTGAATCCAGGCCAATAGCCCGTTTCTCTAAATCGAGCATTCCTAACACGGCTAAGTGCTGCACTATAAAGAACGCAGAACAGCACATCAGGTAGGTAGACTTCGCGAAACGCTATCTCCTGTGCTCAGCCGTTCAATTTCGATAGGTAATCGTCAATTTTCGTTTATAATCCAGAGTCACAAAACTGTCCTAGCGCACGTACGCACGGGTGTCTCAGTGTTTTGTTTAACTTTCTGATATATTTTCTTGTTACGAACAAAAATAGCTACCGAAATCTGAGTGAAAACAGACTGTGAAGCCTTACCTGTATTCTTGCTCGCAGACCGAAAGGTGAAGATGCGCATCACCATAGCAACCGGCCCCCGTAACGCGCACCTTGCCGATGACGTCACAACGACAGAAACGGCACGCTGCTTTATATGGCGAAGCTATGTCGGTAATTTGAGCCCAACTCGCACTGATACCTGGGATCGAGTGATGCGACCCTCGCTGTACCTGTATATGTTTCTGTTTTTAGGAAAGCCCTGTTCGAAGAACGATTAAGCCGGAGCCAATTGCCTGACAGACGGTGCCGTCGTTTTCGCCCGAGCTCTCTCCCCAGCCACTCAAGCAAAGGAACCCCTGGAGATTTTTCTACGGTGACGAAAAAAGGGACACAACAAACTTAAACTATTTATTAAGCTGACCAGTCGAGTGACCAACAAAAACAATACAACATGCCTGAGGTAGGAGAAACACGCACCAGAGTGAAGGACTTTGGCATGGATAGAATGCTTGCCACCAAGGTAAGAGGATACAGAGTTCGTTGTTGCTTATTCTGGTTCTGATTTTCATAAGCGAAAACGGGTTTGCAGTGCAACTCAAAGTGAAATCAGACTTCATAAAGTTCACACCCATTATTTAACTGTTAGTTGAATCAAGCATACATTTACGTATATTGTTACTCTCCTTTACTTCTTACATTAAAAACGGGTTCCGTACATTGCAACAGCTTTTCAAATTCATTTTCTGATGTCACACTTAAACATGACCAGCAAAAGAAACGCAAAGTACATTTTTGCTTGAAACTGTGCATCTGCCACCTTGTTAAAATTGTCAGTTTTTTTCATCACCTGTTGAATACAATACAGGGTCAATATCCCCCATCAATCAAAATAACATTAACTTACAAATTAAATACAAATATTAATTTATTTATAAAATGGAAAAAATAAAACTATCCAAAATGACTTATGATAAGGTTTTCGCTTAGCCTTTTACATCGCCATACAAGAGCATAGAATCCTTCACATAGCCGCAAAACTCCGGAAGTTATCGGTTATTGCTAAAAATAGGCACGGGTTTGCTGGTCTCGGCTGGTGGTATCCCTTTCAACGGGTAACAAGATTACGCTGCTTTAAACAACCGGCGTTTATATAAGGCCAGGTGATGAGCATCCTGACGGATAAACCAATTAATGGGCAGTAATATTTTGAAATATTTGATAATTTAGTTGTGCAAAAACACAAGTGTCGGTGTATTAATCAAAAATACCTAAATAAAGATTGAAAGGTGCGAAGTACAGTGTGGGTTATTTTAGATCTTGGTTAGGTGTGTTCAGTAACAATGACGTTATGCAATTCTTCCCTTCTTTCTTTTTTATTTGTATTATTTTACATAATTAGCAAATGTAGATACGCCGGGTCTAAATTGCTATAATGACACAAAAGTCCAGAACTTTTTCTTAAATTAAGTGAATGGATGGGAATCAGATTTTTGAAAAATCTTTCAAATATGATGACAAAAATAATTTTTGTTTGCGAAATGAAAATAATAGACACTTCCATTTTAAACATAACCGACGTAGTTTCCTAATATATCCCCTATATTAGGAAAAGATTAAGGATAGGTGACTTAGCATTCGAATATTTACAAACACGCACGCCCCCACAAACATGGCACATAGTAAAGGAGAAGATGCCATCTCAAGGTAGTTCTGGCAGCAGCATTTTTGTCGGAAGAAAGAAAAAATACCGACAGCTGGCAAAACGGATATTTAAATGCTTATTTTACGCAAAACATTAAAGCGGTATCTCAAAGTTCATTGCTGTCATCTGTAAAACTGAATTATCTAAATTCTATTAGCGCCTGCCAAAAACTTGGGAAAGCAAACATATGGTGTGTTTTTGTAACCTGTAAGGCAAATGAATATCGTCTGAAAAGGTTAAGGGTTTCAAGAGAGGGGATGTTCAGCTTGATGTTTATCTCATTTTTACTTTACTTCGATATTTAAAAAGTTCTTCTGTCCCTACAAATTCATATTACAACCTCTTATGATAAATATAGTTTTGAATATGGCTCGTTTTATGAAAAAAAATCGTTCCCAGACAAACCTAAGTGAATTTAAGATGGCTTTTCTTTTTATTTTCCTTTTCTCTCCCTATTTATAGTAATTTAAATAACGAAGTTCCATTCACTTACTGTTGTTACCTGCTGTAGCATTGATTAATAACGGAAAATGATCTTACGATTTAGGGTCCCGAACACATGGTTAAAGCGGACGTGAGTACATAAAGGACAGGAGTCCTGGTGGGACATGCCCCCCCCCCAATATTGTACCCCCACCAAAACCGGGACACTATACACCTGCACTGTTCTTCATACTTGACAAATTTACAGTGTCCAGTCCCTAAAGAATATATCACCACCATCTTGTAGAGTCTCTCCGTTCTATCTTTCATTTTTTCATCAGTTTATTTTAACCTCTTTTTTTATGTTGATGCATAAATTTAAATAATGCATCCGATCATCCTCCCTGAAAATGTGATGTAACTTGACTAATTGACAATAGATGTCTCTGTAGGAAATTTGCCCTGGGGTATCCAATCCGACACACCGAAAACCAACACACTGTCATACCTAACACATTTAACTGAAGCATTCATTGGTTTCGCATACCTTGAAACATTTTTCGTTTATCACGTATTTACTAAACTCTAATAATCAGACCCCCCTCTAAGTGAAATGTTTTTCCATTTATAAAATGTCTTCCTATATGTCCCTATCAAATCAGCTCTGTTATCCTACGTGACTATCTCTGAACTATATACATTTTCCTGTATTAATGTTGTGATTCAGGAGCATGGACTGCCTAAGAAGGGGGTAAGTAATCAGGCGGACTCCCCTACCACTCGATTTTCATCTTCCTTTTTCTCTGGAATGATCCAAAGGATGATTCTAGCAACATTGTTCTTTCCACTCTGTTCCCTTCTTTGAACAACAGTGAGCGTATTTGACATTTTTTCACTTTTCAAGCTGCCCTGTGTTAGTAGTCTAGATGCCTGTCCCCATTTGTTGAACAATAGCTTAAGTTTGTATTCATCTCCACAGTAGAACCTCTAGAACATCTAGTAGCAAGCTTTTGTATCATCCGCCATCCATATAGCAATATTTTCTCTTTTCTTAGCACAAACCCTTCGGATGTGGTTTGTCTTGACACGATGCGCCCTCTTTATGTACCATACGGGTTACTGCCTAGCACGACCCTGGTAGCACACCTGGCAAATCGCTTCATAGAGTAGCGCAATTGTTGTTTCCTATATGCTTTCTAAACTGTAAACGTGGACAGATAAGATGTGCTTATGTTGTCGAATATTTTATTTGATCATAAATGTTTATGTCATATATTAAATGTAACTGATTTACATGAAATATATATGTGTGTTTCATATGTGATATAGTTTTATTATTTGTCTATAATGTTTGTTAGTCAGTTTTTTTTCAGACTGAATATCAATTCTAGGTTCGTATATAATTAAGCGCAACGCATTTGCCAACAGGGTTGCTCTTTGCGTTTTTTTTAGTCAGATTAAAAAGTAGATCTAGGCTTTTATATAAATCCCCCATATTATGTGTACAGTAGGCTGCTGCATATGAGGCTCTACTTCTGTGCTTTAAGTTGATGCGTAGGTATACCTGGAAAAAACTTAATGCATTTTATGAGCTACTGGTCTTTGCATTTCAGCATTCCATCATATCCCAAAGGAGTATCGGATATGACAGCTGGCCCTCTTGCTCGATTAAGAAGTAATAGGGCTATTTATTTAGCTACCGGTGGCACGCGCCAGCCGGTAAATGCTCGTGCAAGCTGCGGGTGTTATGTTACCTAGATTAAGTTTTATTGCACGGTCGTTACATTGAGTAGGTCCCCTCCATATACTGAATACGTTAAGTGTATGGGTACATGGCGCTATGCAGTACGTTGTCAATCACTTCTTATTACAGATATACAATTTCCCCATCGTATCGGCAATAACATCTCTGATATATACCGGTATATAATACGTTTTCATCATACACATCTCCATCGGTTTTTGTGTGCAAAGTGTTGGGCGGTTTTCATTAGGTTGTTCAAACATCTTATTAAGTAGGGACATTAAACGGGTCTTTGGTTCTTTCAGTATACCCAGTCAAAGCCGATAATTAGTTTAAAATCTCTCTCTCTCTCTCTCTCTCTCTCTCTCTCAAGCTTACTACGTGTCTCCCTTTAGCACACGACTGGGCTTTATCTTATGTAGACTCTGGACGAAAGGTTTAGTTCAGCGAGCTCCCAAACTCAATTACTCTGCTATTTGATTACCAGAGAAACCGCAGCGGTTCTCCTGGCTATAAATGGTGCACAGGATTTACGTAGCCTCTGGCACGGTCTCAAGCAGACTATACAAAATTGCATCTAAAATCAATGGCAATTCCCCTGTTATGTTACCAAAAGAAGGGCAATATTTATGCTAGTAGATTATCTTATCATGTTCATAAAGCTGTGTTTGATTATATGACATTAAGTGATTGAATAAGGGCGTTTTTAAATGCTCGGAAAATGGAGAGGCAATGTGTCAGTGACTGGCAGATGTATACTCTGTGCAGTGCGCAACGAAGCATATGACGGTGTCTAGGAGCAAATTTATTGCCGAGTTGCACGTCCAGATCTTTGCCGGAACTAATACACTTAACAAGTGAACAGGTACGTGTTGGAAGGCAAGTCTGAAGCACAGATTGTCTGTAATTGACTTGAGAAATTTCACAACCAAGTTGGCTGTTGAGTGAAGCGAGTGACGTGACAGCTTATGTGAAGCGCACCCTTCACCCAAGTTCGTGAGGAGGCATCCGTTGAGTAATGCTCTTACCAATGACATATTTCAGCAAATTATTTGAGTTGCGAACCATTTGTGAACTAGCAACATGTTATCTTGGCCAATTCAAGTAACCAGTTTTCTCCACACACCCCTTCCAAAATATAATGAAACACTCAAGCGTTCGTTATTATGCAAGATATTGCTGTTAGATTATCGTGTTCCGTTTTTCCTTTTTTAAAAATTATATATCTGGGCCCACTGAAGTTTTTGATGTAAATAGGGCATATTGCCCCCCTCAACCCCCCCCCCCCCCAACCCCGGAGTCCGGCTTGGTTTTCTGTAGCCGATCCATTTCCATTTGTGGAACATCTCTGCAACATACGTGCTGAATTTAGTAATCTTTTTCTTGGGCCTCTTTCAGATACAGGAAAGGTGCTATGACATTTGAAAAATTGAACTAATTAATATTCTGAATCTCTTTTTTTAAGGTTGTTGGCAAATAAAGCACTGTTTGTACATGATGCCCGAATATTTGTATACGTAGCATTTTGGGTGACAAAATTAACCGCATCTTTGAAGAATTTTGAATTTTGAAGTTGTTGTATTTTGTGTCTGTGTAGATCCATGGCAGATATGACAGCAGAGTGGAGGCAGAAGTCCTTGGCTTCATCAAGGCTAACACAGGGGAATCTGTAGAGCCGGGCTCAGAAACTTTCTTCAAAACGCTCAGGGACGGCAAAATCCTTTTGATGTGAGTAAAAGATTATTTATTTATTTATTTATTTATTTATTTATTTTGCAAAAGCACTTTTTGGTTTAATTTCTTTCTTTAATGATCATTCTAAGAAAATTTCTTTCGCTATAACTTTGTATTTCTGACCTGCAATTGTTTTAATAGAAATGCGTTTGGATGTTAAAGAAACAGAAATTAATTGTAAGTGGTCAGATGCTGCATTAACTAGAAGAAGAAGTATGTTTCCTAAGAATTAGATCGGGGGATGCAATTGCCATCCTACTATCGCTTTTTGAAATGTAAGAAACATCATTGTTTAAAAAAGTGCATTGTACGTAAATAGGAAACATTCATGAACCAAAGACATGTAAATATGAATGTGAACCAGCATGGTATGATATTTCTCTCTATTTCAGGCTAGCCAACAAAATCCGCGATGGAACTCCCAACTGCCCCGAGGCTGCCCAGAACCTCGACCTCAAAATCAACGAGCAAGAAATCGCTTTCAAACAGGTGCGTTAAGCCGGGTGTGCATTTTAACAAGTTTTCCATTGTGTCGACATAACACCTAACACATTCCTGGTCCCTTGTTAATCGTGTTGACATCAGACGAAAATGTTCATTTTATTTAGTCAAATATAGGTATAGTGCAGTGTAGTGCTTTATTGTATTGTATTGGATTGTATTGGATTGGATTGGATTGACTGGTAATGATATATTTGTCTCAGACATAAGGTAACATGGCAACTTAAAATTGCAGATGGAAAACATCGAGAAATTCTTGAAGTTCTGCCGTGCATATGGTGTATCCAAGGTCAGCTGCTTCCCCACCGTGGACTTGTTCGAAGCTAGAAACCTCCCCAACGTCATGTCAACTCTGCAACTCCTGGGGTCTGAGGTAAGAGGCGTCTTGGAAAGTTATAAAAACGATTTAATTGCAGAGATAGAGCACGATATTACAGAAGTTGTTGCTGTACTGCCAACTGTCTTATTTTTCTACGAAATTTGGCCATCTTAGTGATAGCGCACATCAAGTCTTTTTAATGTTTAGAGAGCGACTTATACACAAAGTTTGTAAATGGGTTTCGTGTATGGTTATTTGTCTCATTGCTTGCGATGGCTTGTAACCAGTTACCACTGATAACTTTGACAAACTCTAGATTTGTAATTTTTGGGAATAAATTATGTCACTCATCAGTAAACAGTTTAGATTGTCACCTGATACGGTACCTGTACATTCGACTCAGTGATATTTACTGTAAATATTTAATTATCGTCGATCAATATGGGAAACACAGAAAATAACAAGTGCTTTTAAACGTATTTAATGCTGAACAGTAATGTTCACCGAGATCTGAATTATACGCCTCACTCGTGTAACATTCCCCCCTTCAGTGCCAACGCCACGGCTTCAGTGGCGCCACCTGCGGACCCAAACCCACCGAACGCCACGAAACCAACTTCAGTGAGGAGACCCTGAGGGCCGGCCACGGACTGATTGGTCTGCAGTACGGAACCAACAAGCTCGCTTCCCAGAGAGGAATGACCAGCATGGGCGCTGTTAGGCACATCGCCGACATTAGGTAGGCCGCTGATGGCTTTTTCATTTGCTTTGTCTTAAATATGGCGGAGAATGAACCACTGTTTATCCTCGACCTCCATACTTAACGCTGTACTGTTCGTTAGCCAAATTTACTACATGTATTTCTGAAAGTCTTTCGTTTTATAAGTTAAGAACCAATTGGTTGTTTTCATTAAAACACTAACGTATCTCCGATAGTACCAGGTTACCTAATAACAGTACTTATAGAAGCAGCGTTATCTGTCAGATGTCGAGGGCATTGGTTCATGTTAACTGGATACGTATAGCTGAAATAGCTGTGCAGCAGTCTTGCATTGACGCTCTTGCGTATTCGGTACACATACACACCAAATATACCACAGACAAATACATTAAAAAACACCAAACACATAATTGTTATCAGTCCTAACTCATAAAGTTTAGGGTGATGTTATTATTTTTTATCGCCGTACAACGGATTAAAGGGTTTGTTCAAGTTTTGAGTTGTAAAGCTCAAGTGAAATGAGTTGGATTTTTATACAAAGTACAAAATGTGTTCCGGGATCTGAAGTACAATGGCTGTAGCGGACGCCTATACTCTGGACCGTGCATTTAGCTGTAGCAGTTCGATGGCTGGGAATGAAGGAAGGTAGGTAAATGATGTTTATAAAAACCACGGTGACTTTCCATGGGAACACAACCTATGTAAAGGCTCCTGCGTCCTGTGAGTCTTCATCCAGACTGTCTTTGTAGGGTTAACGGTTTGGCACATAAACCTAAAACATCGTTTTGCCATGCAGCCTGATTTTATGATAAGTTGGCAGCGAAATGGCATCCGTTTTTCTTTCATTGGTGTCCCATACCAACTGACTATTCAAACGACATCTGGATGATAGACTAGTGCTTGGTGTAAGAGAATTCACTTAATTATTTACACGTGAATCTTATCAAAATTGACGATTTTTCATTTAGATACGAGGATAAATTTATCTCCTACTCCAAGCACGATATCTGTATTTAATGACTCTTGGAAACACGTTATGACGTAATGTAATATGCCTTCATTGTCTTTTAATGGGAAAAAATCCCTTGTCATAAGACGACTGAGTTTGAATATCCTATTTCTGATCAACACCCATCAATTCTGTCTTTTGTATGATATCTAAATGACCATATAACCTAAACCCTCTGATACTGAAAAATACCCACGTTTTGAAGTGGAAAATTGAAACCGACGTTTCCGTCGTAATAAAATATCATTATTTTCTATTACGACCTATGCTTCTTGAAATCACTATGTACTATTACCTCTTTTAATGCATTAAATGGAAAACAAATATTGACCCTTGATCATACAACAAGTGTTTCCTTCGGTCTGAACTTTTTGTTGCCCGTATGCCGAGATCACTCTTCTCTAATTTTCTAAGATCAATAAATGTATGAAATTTATTCGAGGTTACCATCTATCACCGGCTTGTGCAAATATTGCATTAATTTCTTGACCAAGTCATTTGAAATGACAGTCAGTTGAGCGGTTAAAAATGACAAAAAAACCAAACTAGACGAGTGATCTCAGTTATTGCTATGTATTTGTCCTAGTATTTTCATTCAGACTCGCGTGCCACACCCAATAGATCCACAAAGGGCCTAGTAATGGTTTTCGTAATATCTGTTTTGGTTGGTGAAATATTGACCTGGGATGGGTTCTTGATCGTTGTTTACCAACTAAAAAAAATAAGAAAAATAAGAAAAAACTTTTTTATCTGATTCTTTTCGACATTCATCAGTATTCTGCTCCTTCCTTTTTCCATTATATTTTTGTTTTCGTATACCGATTTATGTTTGTCCTGTCACTATAAGTGTTTTTTGTATCCTTTTTACGTCTTTTCTCTTCGTCTTCTCGATATCTTGCATCTCTCTGCTATTTTGCAACTAAATTATACCTGTCATTTTTTTTATTTTTTTCAATGTTTAACATCTTCGAATTCTTTACTTTTGCTTTCGCCGTATATCGCTATAACATATATCTTGCTAATGCCTCCTCTATTCTAAAATAATGCTCTTCTTCTATGTTGTTTAATTCTTCGTTCTCTGTGTACTCGTTCGAAATACACGTTATTTGTTCATGTGTTAAAATGGGTTGATAGGGTAAAAATTGATACTTGGGGATGGAAATCGATGACCTTGCTAAGCCCGAGAGTTGCCCACTTTCTCTTTTCTTATACTCGGCGTGTTCAATGCAGGGTGGCATGCGAACCTGAGTGAGCTACCGTAGAATCTCGACACTGAGTCACCTGATACCGAGATTTCCCGATATTTGTGATTGTTTTATCATGCTTTTCCAATTTTGCCTTGTGTGCCTTAATAACCTAATACAATGAAGTGAAACAGCTGATATTTTAAAAACAATACGCTGTATACACATATGATGGCTAGACAGCATTTTGTCAAGATTTACCCACCGTATTTCGCTCAGTAAAAGCTATGCAATGGGCGCTATCACGTTTACTGCCTTAAGGTATTGGGATCGTAGATTCTACGGTAGCTGAAGTAATCGGTCAGATTCATCAATCCGGATCGGACACGGGCGTATGGTGGGTAAAATCTTGACACACTGTTGCAAGAACATAATCTTTATTCAAACCAGGTAAATTCAGTGCCAACATCATACCTCTCAACAATCTCTTGACACCCACGCTTTACCACACTTCAACATTTATAAACGACTGAAATCGATACCAGCTACCTGCTGTTGCTACCTAATGACCTTTTTATCAAACATTCCAATCAATGGAAAAGCATGGTGAATCGTCATTTTTTCACTCATTTGAAATTATTAGTCAGATCATCTTGATATAATTTGTAAGTGTTTTGACACCTGATATATATATTTGACTTTTCATGATAAATACATTAACCGCTTCCTTAGATATTGCATACATTATCCATTTTGTGTGATTGAAAATATTATTTAACTTAATAATAATTAATTTCTAGGGCTGATAACATGGAAGATAGGGCCACCATTGGCCTACAGATGGGTTCCAACAGATTTGCATCACAGAAAGGTATGACGTCCATGGGGGCCGTCCGCCATATTGCTGATATTCGAGCAGACGACCAAGTTGACAACGCAACTATTGGTGGTCAGATGGGTTCTAACAGGTTTGAAAGTCAGAAAGGTATGACGTCCATGGGGGCTGTCCGTCACGTCTCTGATATCAAGAGTGACGATATGGTTGACAATGCTACCATCGGGCTACAAATGGGATCGAACCGTTTTGCTTCTCAAAAGGGAATGACTTCCATGGGAGCTGTCCGCCATGTTGCTGACATCCGTGCCGATGACATGGAAGATCAGAGTACAATTGGCATTCAGATGGGAAGCAACAAATTCGCATCCCAAAAAGGCATGACGACAATGGGTGCTGTCCGCCATATTGCTGATATTAGGGCCGACCAGTTTGAGGACAAAGCAACCATTGGTGCTCAGATGGGAACTAACAGGTTTGACTCACAAAAAGGCATGAGAGGTTATGGTGCAGTTAGACATGGTGCCGACGTCGGTGCCACCGATGATATGGTCGACAAGTCCACCATTAGCGTACAAATGGGAACGAACAAGTTTGAGTCACAGAAAGGCATGACCTCTATGGGAGCCGTTCGTCACATCGCTGATATCAGAGCAGATCAGTTCGAAGATAAGTCCACTATCGGCGCTCAGATGGGCTCTAATAAATTTGACTCGCAGAAGGGCACTCGCGGGTACGGCGCTGTTCGCCACGGAGCTGACGTAGGGGCTAAAGATGAGATGGTTGACAAATCAACCATTGGTATCCAGATGGGAACAAACAAGTATGATTCCCAGAAAGGCATGACATCCATGGGCGCCGTTCGTCATATTGCTGATATCAGAGCAGACGACATGGAAGACAGGTCCACAATTGGCGCTCAGATGGGATCAAATCGATTCGAATCGCAGAAAGGCATGAGGGGTTATGGTGCTGTTCGCCACGGGGCTGATGTAGGAGCAGATGATGAAATGGTTGACAAATCAACCATTGGTATACAAATGGGCTCCAACAAGTATGAATCCCAAAAAGGTATGACTTCCATGGGTGCCGTCCGCCATATTGCTGATATCCGAGCAGACGACATGGAAGACAGGTCGACAATCGGTGCACAAATGGGCTCCAACAAGTTCGATTCGCAAAAGGGCACTCGTGGTTATGGCGCTGTTCGCCACGGAGCTGACGTAGGAACTAAAGATGAGATGGTCGACAGATCAACCATTGGTATCCAGATGGGAACAAATAAGTATGATTCCCAGAAAGGCATGACATCCATGGGCGCCGTCCGTCATATTGCTGATATCAGAGCAGACGACATGGAAGACAGGTCCACAATTGGCGCTCAGATGGGATCAAACCGATTCGAATCCCAAAAAGGCATGAGGGGTTACGGTGCAGTGCGACACGGAGCCGATGTCGGAGCAGAGGATGAAATGGTTGACAAATCAACCATTGGTATACAAATGGGCTCCAACAAGTATGAATCCCAGAAGGGCATGACATCCATGGGTGCTGTCCGCCATATTGCCGACATTAGAGCTGACGACATGGAAGACAGGTCCACAATCGGTGCTCAGATGGGTTCCAACAAATTCGACTCGCAAAAGGGCACTCGTGGATACGGCGCTGTGCGCCACGGTGCTGACGTAGGGGCTAAAGATGAGATGGTCGACAAATCAACCATTGGCATCCAGATGGGCTCCAATAAGTATGATTCTCAAAAGGGCATGACATCCATGGGTGCCGTCCGCCATATTGCTGATATCAGAGCAGACGATATGGAAGACAGGTCGACAATCGGTGCACAAATGGGTTCCAACAAGTTCGACTCGCAGAAGGGCACGCGTGGATACGGCGCTGTTCGCCACGGTGCTGACGTTGGGGCTAAAGATGAGATGGTCGACAGATCAACCATTGGTATCCAGATGGGTTCCAATAAGTTCGATTCTCAGAAGGGCATGACTTCCATGGGTGCCGTCCGCCATATTGCTGATATCAGAGCAGACGATATGGAAGACAGATCCACCATCGGTGCCCAGATGGGTTCCAACAAATTCGACTCACAGAAAGGCATGAGAGGTTACGGCGCCGTCCGACACATTGCTGACATCAGATCTGACGACATGGATCCTGGCTCCAAAGGCTACATCGGTCTACAAGCAGGCACTAACAAATATGATTCACAGAAAGGAATCACAGCTTTCGGTGCTCCACGTCGTCCTGCTGATATGCGCATGCCGAACCTCCTTGAGGAATACGGTTATTCTGGTGGCTCAACTGATTTTTAAGTTATGTTTAAGATTAAGAGAGAACTATGTTATACACTATTCTTCGGGCACTCAGGCTATTCATCGCCTTCAGTCTTTCAAGAAATAATGTTCATTTGTTGTCTTAACTTAGTCTGGATCTAGCGCGTTAGCAAGCTTGTTTTTTTTTCTATGAACTTCAACATCTTGCCCAATTTTTCGTAAATTGAACAATGTACGTTACTTTCAAAACAGATGATTTTTTATGACTCTGATAGGCTAATTCTAGGGTATTATTCAAACCATTAACCTTTTTTAAGCATCACAATGTGTATAAAACCGGAGGGTCATAATACGAAATTTATTTATTTTATGCAAAAATGTTGTAAATTATTTGGCTTTTTTGCTTAATGTATATTTATTGTTTTTCTTCTGTTCACGTACCTGATATCGCACTCTCATAACGTATTTGTCTCACCCTCCATTGTAACCCGAATTATATTGCACTGTTCATTAACACTTTATGAATACATCTTGGATCAAATTTGATATTACGTATTGAATAATTATTCATTAAAATTAAAAACAAGTTGCGATCTGACCACATTTTGTTAGTTATGGGACGCCCCTTTGTTATTATACGCTTAACGAAAGGCACACATAGCACCTGTACAACATTATTATTTTTATTATCTTATATATTATCTACTGAGTGTTCAACCACTATCAATAAAGGTAAATATATCGAAATTCAATTTATACTGCTAAAGAAATGTGATGACGGGCTTTTTGTATACCGACTGCTTGCTGTACATGTTTGCGATATAAATGGAAGGAAACGGACAATGTAAGGTTTGAGGACATTGAATTTGGATGGTGAAAGTCAGGTAAGGCACTGTAGTCCCTAAAGGCAAAAAGCAGATAAGAAATTAATTTTTACATATTGTTGCTCAATAAAAAATTAAAAAGCAAGTCTCTTGCGTTTGTTGTTTATTGACACATTCCATAGGGGCGGCAATTAAAACAGCTGAAATTGTTTAAATTTAATGCAAATTTTCTCAAGGTAGATATGTGTCACCAGCTACATTGTATGGTCAATCCAACTCCAGTTTGAAGAGCAACTCTCCCGGTTATTTAAACAGTGTGAATTTGCTGGCCATAGTGTCATAGGATATATCTAAGTTTCCAATAATTATGTTTATATGATTTAAGTATACCAGAGCAATATTGTCAGATGTTTCAATGTATCTAAGCAATAAAGTATGATAGCTTGGATTTGAACTTGTTAAACATCAGGTAGAACTAGGTTAAGGGTTAGTCCTTGTCATCAAGGTAAAAAGAACAGACTAACACACAAATTACGAAAGAGAGAGAAAATGGAAGGAATGAAGTAATATTAGTATTGTTTCTTTTACATGAAGCTGAGAACTGAATGAATATGATGTATATTTCCTTTAAACCTTTTTAAGTGTGACCCGTCCCCCCTTTAACTTTTAACAGTCAGAATGCATTAACGGTGGGCTTTACCCAAAAGACTCAGACTAAGCAATTACTTTAAGGGCCTATTCTGCCGAGTGTCTCAAATAATCACCATGTAAATCTCTTTGATTGGTATTTTAATGCATGTTACTTGCACGGTGTTTTTTGAATAAGACTACTGATGTGAACTCATAGTGCTATTGATATAAATTTGCTTTCCCATCTGTACCTTTGGTAAAACCAAAATGAGGGCAGACAAGGCTACAACAAAACAGTTTTACACATTTTCTTACGTTTTCATAGCTTTCTAACTGTTTACCAAATAATCTTTCTCTTGCTAAAGCGTCTCTCTTTCATACCTTTTCTTCTTGCCACTTCTATCCATCTGAAAACGCTATACTTGGGTTAAAAATTGTCCAATATGCAAAGAGAGAGTGACTTTACAAGCGGGCGGCGCGTTCGTCCGTTCACCTGTCGCCAACCCTACTTTTCAGAGCCGATGACCTGGCGGATAGAGTAACAATCGGTCCTCAGATGGGCTCTAACAAGTACGATTCTCAAAAAGGGATGAGTGCATACGGCGCAGTTCGACACGGTGCGGACACACGCTCCGATCAGATGATGAAAGATCGGGCCACCATTGGCGCACAGATGGGTTCCAACCGCTACGACAGTCAGAAGGGGATGACCGCCATGGGCGCTGTCCGCCATATTGCTGATATAAAGAGCGATAATATGGAAGATCGGGCTACGATTGGTGGACAGATGGGTTCCAATAGGTACGCATCCCAGAAAGGTATGTCGGCTTATGGGGCTGTGCGACACGGTGCCGACACGCGCTTAGACCATGTCATGGCCGACAAGTCGACGATTGGCATCCAGATGGGCACCAACAAGTTCGATTCCCAAAAAGGAATGACATCCATGGGCGCTGTCCGACACATCGCCGACATTAGAGCCGACAACCTACAGGACAAGGGTACCATAGGCGGGCAAATGGGGTCGAATAAGTACGACTCTCAGAAGGGGATGGCCGCATATGGTGCTGTGCGCCATGGTGCTGACTTCCGCTCCGATGACCGCATGGTGGATAGAGGTTCTATTGGACTTCAAATGGGCACCAATATGTTCGCCACACAGAGCGGCATGACAGCTATGGGGGCACCTCGTCGACCGGCAGATATGCGCATGCCAGACTTGTTGGCTGAGCGTGGCTATCATCAACCAAAAGCTCAAATTGAATTGTAAATTAAGCAGAAAAAAGCCGTATGAATATCACTCTCCAATTAGCACTATTATTTATCTTTTGCTCCACGTACTCTTTCACGTTCATGTTTGTACCTCAGGGTATAGTGCGACAATTTGGTCGTATAAAAAACAGGATAGATAACAAAAACTACGGTAAAAGAAGCACTGTAAAATGGTTTTCATCACGAAAAAGCATAGAATGATTATGGCAGCTCGCACTCACAGTGATTTGTACATTTATGGAATCTTTGAATCTAACGACTACCTTATTCAAATAGAATCACCTTGGACACTAAAGTTGGTGCTCACTCAAGGTCTTAAGTAAAGACGAGCTGGAAGATATACTGGTTATTGTGGAATCTGAATATTAATAGGGTGCAGAACACTCACATTAAAGGTCACTAAACATTTTGGATGCAATGTCACTTTTTGCCTTCGCAACTCACAAAGTGAATAAAAATGAAAAACATATTCAATCGTGATTCTTTGTGTCTAAATTTAAGGAAAACACTTTTTTATTTTATACCACACTAATGTAGAATTGCTAGGCGTTTTGGTGAAAGATTTGCTCATATTTTACTTCTCCTCTTGTAAATTAGTGTTCGTATGACGCGTAACTAAGTTCATGATGATACTATTGCCAGACAGTAAGCTAGCTATCAATTTGACCTCAAACATAATGAGAACTTATAGGTACTACTCAAAACCCCATGTTTTTGGCTGTACATGTAATATTCATCTGGCAATTACCCAAAAATCTATATCCAGTTTATTAAAACCAAACAGCATGCAATGCTTAAATCAAGACTAGTTCAATATTCATCCCAGGCAGCCTCTAATGTAGTGAGCGATTTCCTCTCCAACTAACCTACAAGATACTATCATCCATGCTTGTTTCCTTTTCACCCCCCAAATAGAGCCGACACAATGGCTGACAGGGGAACAATCGGCTTACAGATGGGCTCCAATCGCTTTGCCTCTCAAAGTGGAATGACTGCATACGGCGCCCCGCGACGACCGGCGGATATGCGCATGCCTGACCTTCTTGCTGAATATGGTTATGCTTGTGGCGGCCAGGAGGGAAACCGAAAGGAATAAGATAATATATAAAAGTTAACGCAATATGAGCGTTTCAAATGTTTAACTCGTTCCGTATAACTAATGCCACTTATAGACTATTGGAGATAAACTTTCAAGTTGTTGAGAAGCATTATAATGAATGTGCATTTCTTGAGGAAATCCTTAGACGATCTGGTTAAACCGTTATTTGCAATATTATATTACAGCTGCGATACACGACGCATCGATGTACTGGAACATATGTATTTTGCATATGATATTAATATTCTGTTCTATACTTTTGCCACTGTTTTAAGTATGCCTAATTAATATGATGTTGAATTATTGTTAAATTTTTCATGTTAATTGCACGATGGAAGAACCATTTTGTTAAATTAAAACACCTTCATTCAGACGAGGCGTTTGAATTAAAGGTTGGAAAATGCATATTTCGAACAATACTCCCTAGATTTCACAACAATTACAATACTTAAATACCTTGCTAAGCATTTCCCTGCATGTTATACTGAGCTTGTGTTTCTGTAGCGCCTTACACAAATAGTGACACAATTGACTATAATCTGTCATATAATTTTTCAAATGCGATGGGGTTTTATTCCAAAATGCTTAAATGTGTGGATTTTGCGTTTTAGCAAAGGAAAAACTGTCTTATATTCTTGCTTTGTCAATCTGCATAAACGGCCAATGTTCCACACAGAGATCAGCATGGTGCTTTACAGCAGAATTAGCCGATGGTTTTGTCAAGCATGGCTCTTAAAAGTAAAGTGTCAAGTGATGAGTTTAGTGCGTCATCTCGAGATTTGTTATGGACAATATGTTAATTCATTCAATTAAAGGGCTACCTCAAAAGTCACTCTTCAAGTAACCAGAGACAAAAATATGGATGAAAATGATAGCAAATGGCTTTATGTTTCCTCAGCTTTACTCACTTTCAAGCACTTACATCTCCCATACGGCCAACATAAATAAAACATGCACTAAAATACAAGTAGGGACCACGTAATGGGTTATCTTCGAACACTGCCTTATGTAGCATGCAGTGAAGGTATTTCGAATATAGTGCTTTTCTTTCATTCGCCATAAATGGATTGTTGCATATAATGACTTCTGTCTATATTCCACGTGGAATATCTGTGTCTACGTTTGTGTTTGTAAATAATGGTGTTTTTTGTATTAAGTAACTCTTTTGTCACATATTTCCCTTTTTGCAGCTATATACAAACCTCTCTCCGAATTAGTTAAAATATGATTCATATTCACATCTATCGTTCTTGCTACTAACTGCTATAATGGCTCCGGAATGTGTAGGTTAAGGTCATTTCAACGTGCAGCTGGTCGTTGCACACGATCAGACTTATGGGTGGCGTGCAAAAGTTTTCACATCGAATTATCAAAAGAGTTTAGATCCATCGGCAAAATTGAGCGTCACTAACACTGTTTGTCACAATTTAATTCTGTTGACATATACAGGTTAAGACATGATATCCAGTAAAGACAGATATACCGTAAAATGTTAAAATTTTGATCAAAACTTTCAAATTTCGTTTACCTTAGTTATATTTAAATTTGGTGTCATTGTGCTTATTTACCAAAAGTATTCAATGTCATTTCTGGATATCTAAGTTCTGAACCGTAAAGTGTCATAATCTTGTATTAAAACCATTTACTTTTGCAGCCATCAGGTTGCAGAGGATGAGTTGGTGATTCTCTGGCTATTCTAGTTTTCACAGGTTAAATTCTGGAGACGTACCACTTGTCTAACTCAAAATCCACGACACTACCTATTCATTCAAGAGCCAAAATAGCAGCAAATCATTTCTTTTGTGCTTGTTTAAAACGAAGCAATTGTTGCTATATCATTCATTCTTTATAAACATCCTCCTTTTGTCCTCACCCACTTTTGAAGACCTGGAATCTAAATCTTGGCCAATTCTTTCCCTAATTTGTCGACCTCTAAAGTACCCTGTAGCTCTTGGTTAGTTAAAACTCAAAGTGGATCCTTATGTCTTCCAGAATCAATCCTGTGGAAAACCAAGAATGTCAGGGTGTGATCAGCATCCAAAGCGGCACCAACCAATACGCTTCTCAAAAGGGCATGCGAGCAATTGGGGCTGTGAGGCACATTTCAGACATCCGAGCTGACCAGTACGATAAGGAAAGTGCCGGAAATCTGTCACTTCAAACAGGCACCAACCAATTTGCTTCGCAGAAAGGCATGACGGCCATGGGCTCCGTTCGTCACGTCTCTGACATCAGGGCCGACGAAATGGACCAACAAGGGCTTACCTACATCAGACCGCAGTCGTCCGGCTCCAACCAGTATGACTCTCAGAAAGGGATGCGTCCAACTGGTGCTGTCCGCCACGGTAACGATGTCGGGGCAGCGGAATACGACCCTCAGACAGCCACTGTCATATCACCCCAGTCTGGCTCTAACGAGCACGCCAGCCAGAAAGGAATGACCTCCTTTGGCGCACAGCGTCATGGAAAAGATGTTGGTTCTTCTGAGTATGAAGGCAAGGACTGCTTCTCCGCCCAGATGGGTACCAACCAATATGCCTCCCAAAGAGGCATGACGTCATTTGGCGCCATCCGTCACGTGTCTGATATTGGAACATCCGAAGCCGAGAGCAAGGACACCATTGGTCTTCAGTACGGTACAAACAAGAATGCCTCCCAGAAAGGGATGACTGCCTTTGGTGCTATCCGCCACGTCTCCGATCTGAAAAGCGGTGCTGAGCTTGATCCAGAGGGACAGACTCTCATTGGTTACCAGTATGGCACGAACAAGGTCATGTCTCAGAAGGGAATGACTGCCTTCGGTGCTGCTCGACATGTCACCAACATCCCATGTGAAGAGGCTTCCCCTGAGGTCCAGGCGGTCCTGAGTTTGCAGTGTGGCACCAACGAATATGACAGTCAGAAAGGGATGAGAGCCATGGGCGCTGTCCGCCACGTGTCCGACATAAAGGCTGATCAATACGATGCTGAGAGCAACACATACATTGGTCTTCAGGCAGGGTCTAACAAGTTCGATTCTCAGAAGGGAATGACCGGTTTTGGCTCTCCACGTCCAGTCTTTGACAAGCACGTGCCCGATGTTTCACAAGAAGGTATGGCAGAACTGAACATCCAAACTGGCACCAATAAGTACGAATCCCAAAAGGGCATGACGCCCGTCGGAGCTGTCCGCCACCCAGCTGATATCAAAGTATCAGAGTGCACCCCAGAAGTCCTGGCAGTGATGACCCTTCAGTGTGGTACCAACCAGTACGCATCACAGAAAGACATGACACCCATGGGCGCCGTTCGACCAGTGAAGGATGTAAAGATCGAGGAGGGCACCCCAGAGGGAAGCGCCGCCCTGTCTTTGCAATGTGGAACCAACCAGTACGCTTCTCAAAAGGGGATGACAGCCGTCGGTGCCTGTCGTCCCATCATGAAGGCCGGCATGCCTGTACAGGATCAGAGCAGTCAAGGTGTCACCAGCTTACAGTACGAAGAGAAAACGGATGAGGAAAACAAGGGCATAGTCTTCGGCCGTTATAGGCACATTTAAATCTAGATGGACGGAGAGACAGCATATATGCAAATACTGTAACAATGACAACACCGTCTAATGCCCTTTTGTACTGAGTCAATGAACTACGCCAACTCTGAGATGAAATTGAAATTACTTAAATTGCTACAAAGCACATCCGCGGTGTTCATAAAACAATTGCTTTCGTCGAACCAAAGGGCATTACTGACAATCAAATTTGCGTGTTGTTGAAATGAAAGCGCCTTTAACACGAATGCGTTGCATAAGGCAGCGGAAACCCAAAGCTTATCCTGATCTTGGGCTACATGGCACGTGACTAATTTTTTTACAGTAAAAGGAATTTTGCATCAAAATTATAACTTTAACTTCCGTGTTGGATACATGTCCGATTTGTGGCACATAGTTAGATACTATAATAACGATTTCTATCCTTTCTTTAATCCCTTGAATAGAAGACACATATGTATAACATATCTACGATAACGCGCTAAAATCGATTTTTTTCCAAGCATTGTTCTGTTTAGTGGGTTTTGAGAGTGGTTGGGACTCGAGGTTTATGAAGCAAGTCTGTCCATATATACGCCTGTATATACTCCTGGAAGTAACCTTTGCTTGTTCGTGATTACGAATGGTTTTTTGCCATTATCAATAAACTGTTCACTGAAATGATGAATTTAGTCAAAATACTTCAAATATGTAGGTATAAACTGCAAAGGTAACATATGAGTGTAACTAACTCAATTCCTGAGTAGTAGCCAGTTAAAGGGCACTAAAATCAAATGACACAGCCCACTTGTCGGTTTTGATGAAATCGAACAATTTCTACAGGAGAGAATAAAGGCAATGTATCCTCACTCATCAAAGCCTCTGTTCACCTTTTTGATTCCTCACACAGTAGAGACGTTGTTTACTTTTTTGGTTCCTGACTCCTTAACGTCCCTGTTTATATTTTTGGTTCCCCGCTCCTCTATGTCTTTGTTAACCTTTTTGTCGCTCACTCCTCATGAACCACAGTTAACCTTTCGGTTCCTCACTCCTTAAAATCATTTTAAACCCTTTTTGGTAAATGCATAGCATGTTTGTTTTAATTTAAGTGTCTCAGTAAGTTTATTTTTGTGCTCATTTGTGCAAATGTATGTTTTGCATATTTTTCCACGTTGTTGTGTGTAAACGACCGCTTATATTCAATTCTCTTTGTGTATTTCACTATATTCACGTAGGGCATTGCTCTTGGTCTGTCCGGCATACGTTGTTCTATGACAAGCGGTGGGGTGGAGAATTTGTTTTGACTTGACTTAATGTATTCTTTCCATTGCATGAGGAATACACAAAGTGAAGGCACGAGTATTTTATCTAACGACCGATTGTTAAACAAACAGTTTAAATCCATGCAAATTCGTTTTGCTAACATACATATTTTTGAAAAAGAGGGTTTTTATTTACGAATTGTAAGTGTTTGTAATATAAGGAAACAATCAAGCTGCTTGATTGCACTTGTGAACTAATGACTGCGCATGTTCACTATTAAAGAGCATATAATATTACAACAAATCACAATTCCTATATCTATCAAGTAGACCTGCTCTCCTACAGGTTTGTCTTGTCTTGCGCAGCGCCCCTACCAGATCAGGTAAGATGTACACAGTAACATTGTGTCAATGGCATGTTTGACTGTATGATAGACAAATTACACTATTGTTATCATGTTTTATAATGTTATTATTTTCGATTTCAGTTTACAGTAGTTAAAAAACATCTAGATGGGCCCAGGGGATGCTGTCCACTCTTCCTCATTATAGATTTGAGCAAGATTAAATGTTTATTTAGTGATTGTGAGTCAACCTGAGGACCAATTTTTGAACAAGCTGCTTAAACAAATTCACTGGAAGTATTTTAGTCAAAATTAATAACACAAAAACACAAGTAAATGCACTATTTTAAACCAGTGAAACGTGTAACAACTCAGTCTTAGAGGGGGTTCCTTGCATAACCTGGATCCACTGTTAGAATACCATTATTATTGATATCAAATGCTTTTCGGAAAGAAATCGTTTTTCATACGTAGTTCCCAGCACTTAGCACAAAATATATATATATATATATATATATATATATATATATATATATATATATATATATATATATAAATCTTATGTTCAAGGGTAACGTAGAACTATTGATGTCGGCAAAAACGTTTTTGAAACGGATATGGGTTGTTAATGATTTGCTATAATCGTTCTGAGGCGTTATTTAGCAAGCACTATAGCGATTGCACACACTAAAATAGTTTATAAATATGCCTTGGTTAATTTTGTGATGTTTGGAATTAGTCAAATACCACATATACCTGGTTAATTAAGCTAGATCATTGACCAAACACATTATGATTAGAGCGCAATTTTCTTTAGAAATGTATTATTTGTTTAGAGTTCATTTTCAAATAAACGCTCATCTGTGGTAACAATTAATAGTCCACACACTTTGCTCAACCATGTGCCGTATACATTATGCACTGCTAATATCACATAATTTACTACCGCCTCTATCCTTTTCGCACCAGTTATATACTTATCAGTTGATTTCTTTCTTGTTTCTTTCATGTTACATACACGTTTTATTCTCACCTAGAATGCACATACACATTTTGTTCCTAAAATTGTTTCGTATGAATAAATGCTGATGGTTGATATTCATGAGTGGCGGCCATACATGCAGCCAGAATGCAAGCTATCGTTTTTTACCTCAACCAATCCACAGCATAGAAAAATATCGTGGTTTTATTTTCACTGGAGAATCTATCCATGACACCGGATGCATGTTTTAACCAGGAAAAAGAGAACAGAAAACAAATAAGGAAAAAAAATAGAAAAACAAACCTCTTGGTTACTATGCGGTCTTCAGCCGTGTGCTGGTTATAATACTGATTAACAGTTAACAAATCCGCTTGCCCCCCTAATTCACGTGCTCCCCATGTTGTAAGCGTCCGCTTCCTGTGCTTTCAGAGTGAAAGCTGTGGGTGACCCGAATACCCAGTCCTTCGTGTCTCTCCAATATGGTTCCAACCAGTTTGACAGCCAGAAGGGAATGACCGGGTTTGGCTCTATCAGACACGTTTCCGACATGAAGCTGGAGAAACAAGATCAGAATTCCCAAGGAGAGCTCTGGCTACAGACTGGCACCAATAAGTTCGACTCTCAGAAGGGTATGTTGTTTTGTTTTGTTTTTATCTGAAAAACAAAACACCTAGACATGGAGTGATCGTTTTTGGAATAGGCTATGTCTGAATACAGAAAAAATTCAGGCGACTAAAGCTAGCCATTTTTCAAGTTTATTGATAAATATATTCTCAATCTGTTTTTCTGGGTCAGTTTTCAATTATACTTTTTGGCTTCTTTCGAGCAGACTAACAGTGTCATTATGGCAAACTTAGTTGAATTCGCATCTCATAATAACAATGAAGAACTGATTAAGGGAATTCCCGAATATTCATCGCACAATGTACGGCAAAATGTACGGTCTTCAAAGTGACACATGTGTCTATATATCAACGATAATGTATTTGCAGGTATGACCGCCATGGGCGCAATCCGCCACGTGTCTGACATGACAAAGAACCAACCGGAACAGGACAAAGATGGCGCTAATGTCATTAGCACGCAGATGGGAACAAACCAGTATGCCTCCCAAAAAGGTGAGAAATTATTATTATTATTATTATTATTACTATTATTATTATTATTATTATTATTATTATTATTATTCCTGCACTGTATTTAATGCACGCTGATCAGTACCATTATTATATTAATGTGATAATGGTACTGATCAGCGTGCACTGTATTTAATGCACGCTGATCAGTACCATTATTATATTAATGTGATACAGCCTCAGCCAATATATAGGGTCACATATCGACTAAAATGAAAACTTAGAAAACTATGGAAACAGACATTCTTGCAGATAATAGATGATACATTTGATAGCTATATACTATAATTGCTTTCTGTATACCTTTCGTTATTATTGAAAATAAGAGCGTGTGACATTTATTGGAATATTTGATTTCCAGGTATGTCTGCCATGGGTGGAATCCGCCACGTGTCTGACATGAAGGTAGATGAGGCATCGGCTGAAGGAAAGGCGACCATCAACCTCCAGTGCGGAACAAACAAATTCGATTCTCAGGTAGGTGAACAATATCATCTGAATGAGACGTTCCCTTTGCCTTTGACGGACGGCATTTTTCAAATAGAACACGGGGCTAATGAAGTCAAAATTCTTCTTTGTAATGGCTTTGGAGGTTGTTTTTTATTTATCTGTTCCCCTCTGATATTGATTACCATTTATAAGAAAATACCAGATAGCCTAAACACCATGTAAAGAACGAGATAGATGTGTAGGGAGGGGGGGCAGAGGAATGTGCTTTTTCCTGTTTCAGAAAAACAAGTGCAAAACAATACTAATTGCCTTCATTTGCTATCATATGTTTTTAGAAAGGAATGACCATGTTTGGCACCCCTCGTCCAGTGAAGGAAGTCAATCTCCTGGAACCGGACCAGGAGGCAATGAGCGCCCCTTCTCTCCAACTCGGTACAAACAAGTACGACTCCCAGAAGGGGATGACCGCCATGGGCGCCAACCGCTGGATCATGAAGGCCGGCATGCCCGTCCAGGACCAGAGCAGTCAAGGTGTCACCAGCTTACAGTACGAAGAGAGAACGGATGAGGAAAACAAGGGCATAGTCTTCGGCCGTTATAGGCACATTTAAGCGGCTACGTCCACGCGGCAGTCTGGAATTGCACTGTACATGCGCAGATAATGCGGTGTGCGGTGCCTCCTAGACGTTTCTCTCCTTTTGATACTCTGACTGCGTCACCTCAACTGAAGGCAAACTAAGCGATACATTAAGTAACGATCTTTCGTCGAAACTCACTGGACAATTGTAGTGTGGATAGTTCACGGTCAGCGTTGACAATAATTTCTAATATAAAAAAGAAGTTTGGGCAACAATCAAGTGGACCGTTGTATTATTCATGTAGAGAAGACGTATGTTGTATTTATTTATTTATTTGATGGGATCTTTATGTGTTAAAAGTGGTGTTCTACACGTCTGAATGAAATTGATACATCTTATCTACCGTGCAACATTGCAACTTAACACTTGGTGTGTTACGTGTGTATTCACATCGCTTTCGAAAACATTTCTGTTTTTTTTTTTCAAATGGAGACAAATTTTAGACAGATTTTTGCTCTTTACATGAGTTCAGTTTTGTAGGTTTAGTTTGCTTTTACTCGAGGGTTTTGCTTTTTAGTTGTAATAGTTTAAGTTAAGACACGTACCGTAAAGCTTCCGCTCATCCCTTCTTACCATCACACGTCTGACACGTAGGCGTAAGAGAGACTGCCACCGGAAAGAAAGGTTGTGATTGTTAAGAAACACAAACTTGAATGTAGTACGAGGCGGATGTGCTTTGTTTAACCTTCAAATTACACACCTAACCTGAATGGTTTATTCTTAATTCCGTAGAAGATATCGCACTTGATTCTTGACATTACGGCCTGGCCAGGATATTGAAGGCTAACAAAACATGATGGCGACCCTAGACAGAAGTATTCGATTTACAGTATTTAGAATTTGGACTGGTAATGAATATTGGTCGTCCCGCTTCTCTTAGTGATATGAATACCAAAAACACTTTATAAATGCAGCTTGTTTTGTCTGCCAGTGTAGTGCTATTTTATGGGCTGAATCGGTGTACCGGTACTTTTCTATTACATAGTAAAAGTCATACCCCTACATTTCAAAGATGTTCACATTTTGAGAGGTGATAAAAATGATTCAAATATCAATCTCCCCCGTGCAATCTCGTGCAGTTGTGTTTTCATGAAATAAGGACGTGTAAACTTTTGAACCACTCTATCATTTTATCATATTTTACCTGGTCCCATTTCACAAACAGTAACTGTGTTATTTAACTCCCTCGAAATGTGAACATTTTGATCGTTACTCAAACCGACAGCCTTTAGGTTCGCACACTCTCTGTATACAGGCACGAGATGCAAATGCATAGCCCCTTTGCTACTCTTTAGTTGGATGAAGCTGTTTAACAGACATACGAGACAGTATTATGATGGCTAGTTGCTCAGAGTGGCACTCATATGACTTCATGTTCACGGTGGTGAAAAAATAAAACTGGTTTATACTTTAACAAAATGTTGTTGTGTTATTATTTACAATTTACGCAAATGAGATTAAAATGCAAGTAACGAATACTTGATCATTGTAGAACTGACATTATTTAAAAGTACTGTAATTGAAATTTCGAAATTGCATCAAATTCAGTCCAAGACGTCGGTCGCATATGTGTTTTTAAACTTATGGAGAAACAATTGGACATTTCAGTTTCGTTTTTTAATACATATGCACATTAATGTTAGTCACCCAATTGTAGCTTGGCCTATACATATTAAATGTGGCCAATACACTACGCTAGGTTTCATTCTTTTTTATTATTATTATTATTGATATTCATTAATTTCTGACTTTGTTTGCTAAGACCACGAATTGTGTTTAACAAAAGCGGTGCAGCGTGCAGCTTTGGCTGTCAAGGTGCGCGGAGCATTCGCACCTGATGCAATCTCATTATCGCAGCAGAGAAAGCTATTTTAAGACGCAATCATTAAAATTCACCCATGAAAACTATCAGTCGATAAAACAAAGTGGAAAATAAAGCAAAGGCCGGAAGTCAGCACAGATAACTGCCATTCTACAGAGGCATATTACTTATAATGATATAAAGTTTAAATTAATTTACACATTTTGTAATCGAACTCTACATCTTTTAACGCTAAAACGATTTCCTTATAATAAAATAAAGCTTAAATTAATTTACACCTTATCTTGTAATCGAAGTCCACATCTTTTAACGCTAAAAAGGATTATGCTTATATGACATGTTTGCAATACAGAAGACCAGCTTGATATTCAAGGTGTACCATCGTTTCTAAATGCGGTGGTGTCTTGTTACATTGAGGGGTCCATAATTACACCAGAAGTCAGAAATATCGCGGCGTGAACGTGTCAAATTATGGCAAGGTGTATAGGGCAGGTGGAAACACTCATACTACGTCATGTTGGCTATAAGGTACCTAAGGCTGACTGAGCATATATTCAGAGACAACGAGCCAGTGGAATAAGCCCCTGTTTCTTCAAGCTAAGGAGGTTGGGTTAATTTAGATATCGCGGAATTCGCCAAAAACAAGAGCATATCTCTAGTTAGCTTCATGTAAAACCCCGGTTACTATTGAAACAAAACGTTTAATTAACCCTGTAGTAAATTGCATTTGAATTATAATTAATTAATTTTATTAATAAGATTTTAAAACGTAGTACCTGTGCCATTGGTAAAATAAGAAGACTCTGCGTCAGAATGAGTTTTTCTCGTAAAAAATCTTTCAGTGAGTGCGCCTTGCAGCGCACTAGCAGTAAAAACCGAGCTATAAATATTTAGTTCTTAAAAATGAGAGAGCACCATAATAATCTCGGTATCAGTCTCCATAAATGAGTCACACGTAAGCCAGTGAAGTGGTGCACTTAGCCATACAGCTGTTAAGTTTACAATAGTGAAAAGCAGAATGTCAAAAGTCTTTTGACCTTTTTGGAGTGCGGTATCTTCTCAACATCACTGATAGGTTGGAATCTCGAGACCGCAGTTGGAGGCGTTAGTCGCATCTAACCATTTGCAACAACGTTGTGCATCGGCTTGTTCATAAGATGTTTGTGACATAGAATTTTGTCAATGCGTAGCTTAACTTTTATCATATGATAATATGATACATTAACTGCGTTTCATATGAATATTTACTTTATAACTCACCAGTATATTCACGGAATATCTTAACTTGTTTTGCTGTCTTTACTTTCTTGGTCGTTTAAAGTTATGTGAACCCCGTTAGCAGACACTTAAACAGACTGCCAAAAGTAGCGTATCAACAAACGTCATACGTACACGTGCTTTAAGCTCTAGAATACACATTCGTCGTAGTATAGACTTATATACACCGCGAGCGTGACGTCAATATATATCCATCGTCTGCTTAAAGTAGGTCAAAGAACTTGAGACGAAATATTCTGAGAATAGCACACGGTTTCTCTTCTCTGACAAGTGGAGAATCCTCATAGCCTAAGCAAGGGGAGTTTGCAACATGGCATTCCGATCGTCGGTCGTGCTTATCCTATCGCTGGCCTTTCTGGTGGTCAACTTCGACAGCGTCTCGCCTGATGAGCAAATCGATCACATAGACGGCGAAGAGTTGGATAAAATCATTAAGAGTGGAAAGCTAGCTCTCATTTACTTCGCACCTAGTCTGAATTTGGTACCCACTGGACAAAGTTTATTAGAGGTAAGGGGTGTAATACATGACCTGGCACTGAGCGTATCGATTACCAATTTTTCCATTTTGTTCACATTTTAGACAAACGTTTATTCCATTATTTTCTTGCAAAAATCGGTATCATTTTCTGCAGAATCACCATATCGATTCTTTAATTTTTTTATACCAGCGTTATGAGTATATGGATGTGTTGCGAAAATAAACCCAGCTAAGTACGGTAATGTCAGCAGACGTCATGCACGAGGTGTGAAGCTGCAATGTATATGATCTCTTTCCGCAAATTCTGAAAGAGTGGTAACACAAGGATAAAGCAATCATCATAACGATTCTTAATCAAGCTATTAGTACATATGTTTACTCGTTTGTCTTACCGTTATATTGTAGTAGTCATTTCACGGTTTTTGCATTGATACCTTATGCTCATATAAGTATGAAGCATACTCGTACATGAAATAGACTTTTAACTTTATGCTGCATGCAGACTGAATGAAATCACTAAGATGGAATCGCGAATAGATAAACTGTATTACCTAAACATGGGAACAGGGGGAATGTTTTCAATTCCTGTGTCTGTTTATCTATGCACCTGACGCTCTGAATCTGTTGCGAATTACGCTACCTGAGTAACTGCGAACGGTTCGAATGGCCAAAACGTTTATATTTACGAGTAAATCATCCAGTGATTTTTTTCCAATTCTGCAAACAATTTATAAAAGGGAATTAAATATTCACTTTATTTTTTTCGATTTAAATTGAAATTGCGCTGAACACTCACGGAGCTTAGCAGCGAATGATGATATCCACGAAAGTGCAAAGCGCTTCGTTGTTAGATAAAGTTTTAATATTTGCCGTTTAAAGCGCGGGTTTGCGCAGGTGATTGTACAGCATTTCGTATAACACTTGATTGATTTATGATTCAGACGGGACCAGCAAGATATATAAGAATAAGAATATCACTCAGTACTGTTTTTATTGCCCCTTCGAGGAAGGTAAATGGCTTCAAATAAATCACCTTCCAGATTCATCTTCAATTCAAACCTTAAGACCCAGACTCCAGTCGCGACTACTTGGTAAATCAGGAAGCCATATTGAGAAGTGACGAACAGAAGGTCACGCCGCATGACCTTTAACGTGTATTACCAGGAATGCGAAATAATAGTTCAGTAAAAGGTTCCGGTGGCCATGCTGTACTTCACGAATCTCGCCTACATAGTACATACAAATGGCAATTAAGACGGTTTTCCACGGATCACACCAGGAAGAGAATCGATATTTATCAAAACTGATTATATACTTTATCTTTTTCTTATTATCAAATCATGATAAGAGATGAGGGTGTGGTTAAGGTATTTGTCGCCACAGTGCAGCCAATGTATGCCAATGCAATGTAACCGGTCTGTATTATTAATTTGTCACTGTCGATATGTGAATGAACTATTTTGTAGGGGGTGTGTCTTGTATGGGGTCATTCCACTGGTGCCATCTACTGTACCAGTATAAACGAGGTTGAGGTCACTGTTGTTGTTCGAGCAGGTAGTGCAGTGATGTGATGTTGTCTCGTGTTCCTCGTTTTTAGATCTGATCTGATATATTTTTATCCTCTATCCATTGTTATGTGTAAGACCCTTGAGGAAATACTTTCAGAAATGTTTGTTTCGAGGACAACGATAAGTTTCATTTCCTTGACTTTAATTGTATGGATATATTCATTCAATTGTTACTTTCAAAAAGTATAAAGCCACATGCAGTGCTGCTAAGTAACTGAAGGCAATGGGATTATTAAACAATGGGGATGAAGTGGCAAGAGATAAATGTGTTGCCAAGTACTCACTTAAGTTGTCGTTGGTCCTTAGAAGAATTGCGTTTCTGAATATGCCTGTTCTTAAATGTAAGAAGAAACGGATGGAAACAATCAAAAATGAAAATATTGTAAGTGCAGTTTGAAGTTCATTAAGGATTTCAAGTGTCGCCTCTTAGACATTGGGAGTATTCGGCAAGAACCTTCACCTTTTGTGGTCTAGAAACTCACTCGGAACTACTCGGATGTCTCGCGCACTCGACAGTATGGAGCGTAGCGGAGTCAGCCGAGGATTGCAGATTGCTAGAAACCGCATTGTACCGGAAGTAGAAATGTCGCATAAAATGATGACGTCACCTTACTTTTACCAACCTAAGTTATAAACCACGCACACTGACAATATATAATAAGTGAGACACAAGTGAAAGATAAATTTAAGGGTAGATAGATAATAATTGATCTTTATCTATCGTTCAAAAATCTAATTGTCTTTATGTAGCCAAATGTTCACAAGCACAACGAAGCTCTGTTTTTGCTCCCAATTAAGTAAGATAAGTCCATATGACTGAAAATTGTCATTTATTAATGACGAAAACTTATAAGATACAAAGTTACAAAACTGGGGCGATAATCAAACATCCCCCAAACTATATAAGTGCCATAATATAAAGATAATAAAGTATATTAATGAGTGTAACCAGGATTAATTAAGAAAAATATGAGAAATTACAACAGCTATAGGCGCAAAAAGTTGGCGCAAATGAAAATTAAAGGCAGCCCCGGCAGCAGTGCCCCAAGGCTACGGTAACAACCATAAAAACCTTGTTAACAAAAACTTGCAGGTGGTCTAAAGCAGTTTAGGAAATACCTTAGTTCATTAGTATCCATACGAGTAACTTCATAAGTACACGCGTATACTATTTATAAATATGCATACTGTGACTCATATTACTGCAATAAAAGAGATTGATTTAAAGATTAATAACGTCCAATTGTTTCGCGTGTTTTAAAAATGGCAATTCACTAAATCATGTTCGTTTAAACTGCTCAACAGTTCCCAAGTTAAATACAATGCATTACATTAAGTACAAAAGTCAAATTATTAAAAAAAGCCAAATTTCATGCAACAACAGACAATGAAATACGATATACGCAGCCAGGGACCCAGTGATATAGGCACCAATGAGTGAATAACACGGATACAGCCGTTAACTGACCCTTTGAGGTTATTTAGCACAGAATCCGAGATAAACGAGCTTTCCTCTAGCTACGAAGGGTGAATTATACAAGTGACGTTTTACTTAAAATGCATTTGTACCACACGTGCAAGGTAACGGAGATTCTAAGGAATGATGGACATAGCGTCGCTCTGCATCCAGAAACTAAAAAAAAGCAAAGAGTTATCCCAAAAATTGCCATTTTGTCACTCAATGAATTCCTTGTAAATTCAATAGCATTGTACCCCTGTGTCAGACCATAGGTTTAAATCAGGGAGTTAAAAATAGTGTTTGATCAAAAGTTACCCAGAACAAATATCGGAGTTATTATTATATGCATACGCATATAAATGAAGAAAAATAGTTTTACTGAACTCGGTGTGCTCATTATGAAACAGGTGCTTGCCGCCACAAACGATATACCGTTGTTAATCTGTATACCTACCGAGAACCGAGTGATTACACGTTAATCTCTAATGATTTTTGAATCCATGTAAAGGTGAACCACTTGTTGATTGAGCGGTTTCTTCATTTCTGTGCAATGAAAAATCACTCACTGCAAATTTTTGCATAGTAGCCAAGTTGATAAAAGAATGCACTGATAATCAATATGCGTTTCAGTTTTGGATAGTAAACTGTTGTTTTATTTGTTAAAGCCACTGGATCGCAAAATTGTCCTTTAGAGTTATCATTATAATCAGGTGAGCGCAAATCAAGTGCAGTGCACAGGTAAAACAAGGGTTCTCTCTCTCTCTCTCTCTCTCTTACACACACACACACACACACGCACGCACGCACGCAAGCACATGTTCCTTAAATTTAGCACAATTCATAAACCTATTATAGTGCACCAATGTTTGAAAACCTGAACTGAAATTGACAAGAAAGCCGTACCTTGAAGAAAGAATGTACGGTGAAATTTATTTTCATTTTGCCTAAGGCCTACACGTTTATCATGAAGTGTTACCGACACTAGAAAAAAATGACAATGTTGGCAAACATATCATTGAATGCAACTGTTAATCTCTGCGTTAATCTCTCGTCCTGGATGAAGATCGGTGCATATTTGATTACATTTCTCCAGACGTTCAATTCGTGAACACTGGCATAAATCTTATTCTGCTTCTATTTTTACGTTAGTAACGAGCGATAAAATAATCAATTTGCGTTACAGTCCAAGCCAACAGCAATTTAATGTTTCAACTTGTGCATGTTAATATGGTTTACAGCACTCGTAATATAACGGTTAACCGTTTTGCTTGAAGGCCAACGACCATCCTTGTTTTATAGCAGACCTACGCGATTACCTAGCATAAAACACTTTAAATCAACCCCGAGACATGCGTGTCTTTCATCTTATTCTACCTAACTCAACGAAGTAACACAGGTAACATCTAATAGTTCACTGAGTCAGCGAGTAGTTGCCAAAGAAATACGAAAAGTAAAAAAATTACATAATGTCAGTGAACACTGAAACCATGACATTTAGTTTTTCTTTGTAAGCTGGGGATTATTTGCATGTACACGTCAGCGGACGTTAGGAATATTCTGCTACGTCTGCGCGTAGAAAATACTTGTTCACAACGTTTCAATCTGTTACTAATGATATTAACATGACAGTTATCACGCAGCGCTGTTTTTTATTAAGTGGTAATGGGTACTATATGTCAAAGGACGCGGCTTTAAAAATAGAACGTGCAATGGTGCCCAGCGAATGTCTATTGAAAAAACAGCCTCTTATTTAGATACCAAGGATTCGACTGATGTTGCAAACGATTATGTTGTCAAAAATAACAATTTTATGCTGTTGAAGAGTAAAAACATGATTATTTAGACAGTATGGTATGTGTTCTCTGAATAGTTTGCTCTAGCTGTGGAAAGGTAGACATACGTTATAATTATTTATATGTTAGGCAGTTTGCATGAGGATTGTTTATTGGGTTTAGACGGGAAGATATAAGATCATGGTATGAGTTCAGAGGCCGAAAAAAGAC